TTTCTCTAATTTATTAGAGCGCCACGTGATAACTTGAGAGCGTTTGTAGAAAGTTTAATGGACTTTTAGTATATAATAGATTTTAACAATGTCAATATTTGGACCATGCCAAAGTTTTGGTAAAAGGCTGGTTAGGTCTGATATTTTGCCAAAATTTTAGTACCATCAAAGCTTAGTGTAAGTTTGGTTAGAGCTGAAAGTTTGGTTTGATGCCAAAATTAATGAATGTTCGATCTGTAGATAAGTAACAGCTGTATGGTTTGCTACATTAGTGGTGTATTTTCTATCATCAGTATAGACCACCGTAAAAATTGTAATGGCTCATGTCATTTCTACCGTTTGTACCCTCATTCATTAATAACACTTTTTGAAATTTGATGGCTTTCCGGTGGTCTGTCTAATTTAACCGAGTAACCTAGCTCTCAACCTCATAGTTTACTCCATAGCTAATAAACTGTAGAAAAATAAACGAAACAACGAAAAATAATTAAAAAAACTTGACCAGTGAGAAAATAAGTGTCCGATGGTTTTCATTAAGAAGAAGGCTCCATCAAACCAACCGAGAAAAGCCACAAACCCTCACCCCCCCCACACACACACGCAAACTCATTCATATGGATCGTTCCTTAACTCATTCTTTGAGGCCCATGCTTCCTATACGAGGCCCACGCTCCATAGGTTGATTCTTAACACATTTTTATGAGGGGCATGTGAAATCAAAGTGTGTTTTGATTGTTATTTTATGATGAACAATTGGCATATGAGATAATTGATTTCGATATTTGAAGATTATTAGTGAAGTAGTTTTGCTCTTTGTGTGGAGCCAGTTAGACCGGGCAGGATAAGCTGGTCATACTGGCGTGGTGTGCACTGTCAAACTGGCCAAAACGACAGCATGACCGGCCAACTTTATGTCGATGTTGGTTTCGGGTTTTTTATTTGTTTATTCGTGATTATGACTTATATATGAATTCTATACATGTGTAATAATGTTGAGTAAAGTTGAGAAAGAACTTATGCTCAGATATGTTTCTTCGTTTGATTCCTGTGTAGGTGTGCTTTGATGCATCGGGAGAGCGTTGCCGATGATGGTCAGGAATCAACTTGGGAGAAGATGACATCCGGGCGATTGGGATATCATGCGAGATGCTTAGGCTAAAAAACAATGCACGTGGTTGATGGAGATTCCATGAGGCATACGATGGGAGATTGTGTACATATGGAATAAGGAGTCGATTTAAATTTAGGAAGATTGGAATTTGAATTGGAAAGAGATAAGTTTATTTTAGGTACGAGAAATGTTTCCTAGTGGATTAGGATATATTGCACAAGTTAGATTCATGGTTTTAGGCTGCTTATCTCGGGTATAAATAGAGAGGGGATTGAGGCCTCTTGTGATCGATTATGTGTAAGTTAAGTTTAAAGAAAAGTTAGGGTTTCGAGTTTAGTCCAATTCTATAAGAGAAGTGTTGTTATTGCACTTTGTAAACACGAATATATGCAAATAAACTTTAATCTACTTTTGAGGGTTTTCGATTTGTGATTTGCTCGGAGTACAACAGTCACACCGGAAGAATACCGACGGTCAGACCAACGGCAACTACTCGGTCATACAATCGGATCTATGGCGGTTGGACCGGAGGTGTCAACAAGAGGCGGTGGCTTGATTGCGCGGTCAGACCAATGAGGCTTGTACAGTCAGACCAAAGATCTAACACTGGTGTAACTTTTAATTCCGCTAAAAGTGTTTGGTGTTGCTACCATTCAACCCCCCTCCCCCTCCCCTCTCTCTGTTTGGTAATCTTAGTTCTCGTTGTTCGATCTTACAGGGCCAACAAGTGATTTTTTTTAATTAGGCTTAAAATTCACTCTCTTGGGGTGTCGAACTCAAAACCTAGATGTGCTACTTATCACTGTAACTGCTAGGTTACATGTTCTTTCCCAATAAAAAGTAATTTACAGGTAAAATTTTTATATCCGTATTCTTAGCGGTTTATAAGTCAATATTGAAAATAAATTCCAAGTAAGAAACTTAAGTTCAACACTACAATTATGTTTTAAAATTTAAATTTTGGTCACGGCTGATAAATTAGAAGACATACTATGAGTCCGTCTTTTTCTGTCTGATTCCAGAACAATCAATATCTACATATGAATCCATACATTATCTGCTCTGATTTCGAAACATAATAATATAGGAGAAAAGAATTAAAAATATGTGTAATCATTATTCGTCAAAATCCGATATGTTTCATAGTTCCATACGTAATTGCTTGGTTTGACAGTGGTGAATCGATCTAGAACCTTCGACAACAATCGAGAACATATATGGTCCTCAGATCTTTTGTTAAGGCCGTGAAAACGGAGGTGATTCGATGGGAAGACAGACATGATTGATTGCCATATAGGAATAACTGATTCAAGTTCTGAGGTCAGGCGCGCGCCATTGCAGATGCATCAGGGAACCTACCTACAGTATTAGCTAGACTTGTGCAAAGTAAAACCATGGTTATTCTGAATCTAAACGATGCTTCTTCAGAGAATGGTTCAGGGCACCATATCAACTTAGCAGATATCGGATGGTACACCTGACCTCAACATGGGGTGCTTTTGCTACTGCTTGATCACAGGGTAGGGCCTAGCATTATGCCAGGAAATGTAGTTAGATTCATACACACAAAAGTGATTAACAAGAACTACACTAGTGGCCTGAGGAGCGCAGACAAAAGAAGATCAATAATCAGCGAAGGTAATTATGCCAGCTTCTGGATGGATGGTGCATCTGTGATTGATTCACTGATCTGATCGCTCACTCGTCAGCTATCTTGGTTCCATGCCTCTCATGAAAAGCTAAGGGGTTGCAGAGAAGCGTGGATTTTCCCTCTTGTGGCCTGGCCTCATGCCAATGCGCTAGTCTCATCTCAGGCAGCACAAGCTGTCTTTTCATCCTGTAGATCGTGCAAAATAAGGTGCTGGTTCTAAACGTGCCCCAGAAAGCGCTCTCTGTTTGCACATGTGTGTATTTAGTGGTATTTTTCAGTACCAATATCCATTTATTTTCATTTAATTTGCTTTGCTCGTAAAGTAGTTCTTGATTCTACATGTATACATCTACAAAGTATTGATGAGTGCTCATTACAGAAGGCATCTCAAATCAATAAATTATCTGCATTTTTGCGAAAGAAACCTGATTGAAACACCTCGTGAACGAAATACCTAGCAAACTCTGTAAGGCCTGAGATTTTCACCAAGTCGAGTGGCTGATCTGCAACGAGCTGTACCGATCAAAATATGGGTTCTTTCATTCTTTGTGATGTGTGCTGATTTTCCAATCGAAAATCATTGTGGCAAGATTTTGTCAGGGCATCGCCGTCCACACTCTGCTCCCCCACCGGGGATGCCTACCAAGGGAAGAAGAGGCGTCATAACTGCCATACACTTGTGCTGTCTACGGCCATCAGAGCATTGACCATACGGGCCTACTTCACAGAACATGATTGACCTGTAAAAATCAGCTTCAGACTTTGAGTTCCGAATCCTGTTGATTTTTCATTGAGTTTAATTAGGAGTAGGTGGCATTGCTCTTCAGATGATATGTCGATTTCTGGCATTGCTCTTTTTAATACAAGGTGATGAAAATTCAGCTGCCTGAATTGGAGTTTTGTTTTCCTGAACTGTAGTATCTGAACTCTGAAGACAGTTACTGATAGTGGTAGTACAAGATAGTACTCCCTCCGTTTTGAAATGTTTGACGCCGTTGACTTTTTATCACATGTTTGATCATTCGTCTTATTCAAAAAATTTAAGTAATTATTAATTATTTTCCTATCATTTGATTCATTATTAAATATATTTTTATGTAGACATATAATTTTACATATCTCACAAAAGTTTTTGAATAAGACGAACAGTTAAACATGTGCTAAAAAGTCAACGGTGTCAAACATTTCGAACTGGAGGGAGTATCCTACAGGTACAGTACGGCAAAAAAAGAAAAACTGAATGTGAGCTAAGCTCAATGAGAGAAGCTAGGATTGCAAATTGCTGAAGTACTCCAACTGACATGAGATTTTTCAATAGTAGCAGGTCAGTTTTGACAGTGACCATCCAAGTGCAACGTCCTCTGCTCTGACATTGCTTAGCATTGCTAACCGAAGCATGCACACTGCGTAATAGAGTGGTTAGGATAACCCCTTATTGTAATGTCACCTTTGCAAATCCTTAACTGCTCGGATATTTCAATTTGGTCACCAGAGATGGCAATCCTACAATTGAAAATTTGTTCAGTTGCCACGGATCCATCATTAATCTGGCAATGGCGGCAACCTCTGACAGGGACAATGGCAAATTCGGCCAATAGTAAATTTCGGTACGGTTTATCCTAGTTGGCATTGGCACACATGGTTCGTCTCTTCTACGAGTATAGATTATGAAAAATGTCAACTTACAACAGGTGACGAATTTCGCAAAAAAAACGTATTAACATTCGGCATGGAAAACGTACGTAGAATGACCAAAAATATCCATCCCTATAGTATCATTTCTTTCAGGGGAGCCCCCAATCTACAAAAGAAAAAGAATTTGTTCGTCACCCATATATCGGCGTCATGACCTCGACGTCGCGCTTTATCCAGGCATATAGTTTACAACACCTTGTGAATTGAAAACCCACAATTATTTCAGTCTAACAGCAGACAGAGGCAACGTTGCTCTCGTTGTCGTTCACGGGGGGATGACGCGCGGTTTTATGCCCTCGACGAGAATACAAAATCAAGTATGCGTTTCTGTTTCTCGGCCAATGCTGATCCGACAACGTGTTTGAACGGATTAAACAAAATCTGAATCCCCGTCGAAAAATTAGACCAGAAACAATGATCTTATGCTGATTAATTAGGGCTAATGAGCTATGCATGCAAGCACTGTACCCAGTGGTGCTCCGACAAGTAGGCCTGCCTAATCAAAAGGCAGTGAGGACTGTAACTACTAGTACCTGCCACCTCCCAGTTGCTCAGGCTTCTCAACCTTAGCTAGCTCGATCTCCCTATAAATACTCCTGCTCATTACCACAACGAGCAAGCGATCGACGGAGCGAGCGAGCTAGCCAGCCAGTGTTAGAGCTTGAGCTGCTTGTTCTTCTTCTACCTCCTGCACTCGCGTGCTGCACAAGTAGCTCAGCTAGATAGAGCGTCAGAAATGGCCAGCAACAACTCGAGAACAAACTCCAGGGCGAACTACTCCAACGAGATCCACGATCTCTCCACGGTGCAGAACGGCACCATGCCTACCATGTACTACGGCGAGAAGGCCATCGCCGACTTCTTCCCTCCTCACCTCCTCAAGAAGGTGAGGAGTCTGGAGCTGAATGATTAATTCTTCAGACTTTCAGAGCTTTATCTGTCTTTCTCTGGTTGCTTGATTGATTCGAGATCGATTGAGCTGGGGGGGAGCTAATGCGTGCACGCTGCTTGGATCGCCATGGCTGCAGGTCGTGTCGGAGGTGGTGGCCACGTTCCTGCTGGTGTTCATGACGTGTGGGGCGGCAGGGATCAGCGGCAGCGACCTGTCTCGCATATCGCAGCTGGGACAGTCGATCGCCGGTGGCCTCATCGTGACGGTGATGATCTACGCCGTCGGCCACATCTCCGGCGCCCACATGAACCCCGCCGTGACGCTCGCGTTCGCCGTGTTCAGGCATTTCCCCTGGATTCAGGTATGCAGATGCAGCAACACAGCTACCTCAAACTGCCAATTCTTCATATATATTACTTCTTGCATCAAAATATATATGCAATATAATAGTTAGCTATGTGTACGACTTAAGCCATGCACTACTTCGGCATACTAGCTAGATGCTTTCTTAGTTTCTTTCAATCTGTTCTTTGCCAAAAGATGTTAGCAGAGACACCTAACCAATTGAGTGCTGATTGAATATTAGTAGTCACATAAGAATTTTTTCTGAAACGACCTTAGCTTGTTCCGGTTGTCTTTTTACATATGATGGTATCTGAATCTTGTTAAATTTACCTCCGATAGCTACAATTTTCAGAGTTTCGTCAGCTTTGATCCTCTCCATTTTTTTAATTTTTGACGCAACCCTCTTCATTATCTGAAAAACTTTTTAAATCTCAAGAGAGCAAAATCATTGGCTAATTTAGTCCTCACTTAAGTACTTAGTTTATTCACGCGTTCTTGTCAAGATGTTGCCATGGATTTGATTCTGCCAAATTAAATCTCTATTTTAGGCATATATGCCAAATTATTCAGTCTAGCTTATGTCGCCGGCCAGAAAGAAAGTCAAAAGGCAACGAGAGGTGGTATATGCTCATGTAACTTGTTATCCGAACCAACCAATCACATATCTTTCAAGGTCATTAAACTTATATATACCATAATGATGCACACATCCGCATTGTATAAGGAATTAATGTCGTCTCTTCTGTCAACAACATATATCGACCTTAATCCATAGGTCCTTTTCACTACACATTTGTCTAGCTAGCTGGAGCCTGAAAGCAAGCAACCACTCCATATCAGCAACACACAAACAATAGTACAGCCAGACAACACGTTGGGCAGTAGCATGTGATCGATCGATCACCAGATTAATTAAGCTCACATCAATCAAAAAATCAGACATCTGAAATCTAGCATGAAACCGCCACAAACAATTCAGGCTCGTGCTAATTGAACACGAGCAATCACGCGTCAAAACCCCAGCACAGCCAAATTAAAGATGAAGCCACTAAGCTGGGATACGCTGAGTTAGTTGCCACGGATCACATTCCATATAGTCTATTTTTACATCGCAATCCACAGGGCACTTCTGCTGCTGCTGCTAGTAGAAGACAAGAGTATGATCGTGGTCGAGGCTTTTTTGTTGCCACTGCACGTAAAGCTAGCAGGGACAAGTGTCCGTAGCGATACAGTACAGGAGAACCGGTCGCGACGCAAGAATTCATGTAAAGGCGGTGGCGTGCGTGGTGGTTCATGTGCCATATATTCGGTCGATCGATAGGGATCCGCCGGAAATCGATCGCCTGTGGCGCCGTCGTCCGATCGATCGGCACCGAATCCGGGGCTAAGCTAGTTGCCGCTATCTGCTATAGTGCTATATATCTATCTATATATTCACTAGCACACACACCGGTGAGGCTGACCGGAACCGATTCGATGTTCCCGGCTTCAACAGAGACATCTCGCAATGTGCAGTTAGATACTACTGCGACTGCTCTAGATCGATCTCCAGCTAGAGGTGCAGGGTTAAAGCGTTGAAATGAAACATCTTTTCAACCTATTTTTTTTCTCCCTTACACAGGTTCCGTTCTACTGGGCGGCGCAGTTCACCGGAGCGATATGCGCGTCGTTCGTGCTCAAGGCGGTGATCCACCCGGTGGATGTGATCGGAACCACCACGCCCGTGGGGCCGCACTGGCACTCGCTCGTCGTCGAGGTCATCGTGACGTTCAACATGATGTTCGTCACGCTCGCCGTCGCCACGGACACGAGAGCGGTACGCGTCGTCCACGGCTTTCACCTCCTTGTCGTCGATCGATGATGACTGAATTTTGCCGTAAAATACATGGACTCTTGACCGGTGTTTTTTTCCATATGCAGGTGGGTGAGTTGGCCGGGTTGGCGGTTGGTTCCGCGGTTTGCATTACGTCCATCTTCGCAGGGTAAATACGCTAGAAATCGACGGCCCGTTAATCAATCAGCTATTCAATTCGTTCATTCATGTTCATGACCAAGAAGATTAGTACTAGCTAATTAGGAAGTAATTAACTTGGAGCTAGTAGCAAGACCAATTAGTTAATTTGTAGCCACTTGACTCCTGACAAGTGAGAGGGGGGGGGGGGAAAAGTCAAACTAACCTGGCTAATCAACATTATCTTTGATCGATCAGTAACCAAATTAATAAATGTAGGGAAACATACATATTGATCAGGCAGAACGTAGAAACTAAACTAGTTGAGCAGAATATACAATGGAGACTGAGACGCAGCGAAAAACGAGTGGTGGTTGCAGGGCAATTTCAGGTGGATCGATGAACCCGGCAAGGACGCTGGGGCCGGCGCTGGCGAGCAACAAGTTCGACGGCCTGTGGATCTACTTCCTGGGCCCAGTCATGGGCACGCTCTCGGGAGCATGGACCTACACCTTCATCCGCTTCGAGGACACCCCCAAGGAAGGCTCCTCCCAGAAGCTCTCCTCCTTCAAGCTGCGCCGCTTGCGGAGCCAGCAGTCCATCGCCGCCGACGACGTCGACGAGATGGAGAACATCCAAGTGTGATAGGACGACGAGATGTCGTCGATCGTGTCCTCTTACTCGGAAAATTACCAGTCGATCTCGGTCTCGTCATCACTAGCTACGTCTTTGTGTGTGTTTTGTGTCGTGTCACTGCTGCTTCGTACACGCCGGAGAGAGTTACATAAAACGCGCGCGCGTGCACGGGGGAGTGGCGCTAGCTTTGGTTGCTTGGTGGTTCGTGTGGGGTACGTAGATTGCTCGCTCTGTTAATTCCGGGGCTGGAGCCTGCTAATTTTGGGCGTGTGCGTGTGCCGCTTGTGCATCAGTCTCTGCCGTCAAATTGTGCGTGTGTGCCAGGTGTACTATCTCTCCAGCAGTTGCTTGTTCCACTTCAATTCACCCCCAAAGTAATTAAAAGGATGTCACGTTCTCTCCCCTATATAAAACATCTGCGACTTTATATATTGTTGTGGGGGTTGCATGTCTTGCATGTGCGTTATCATTCCGTCAATGATTAACTGATGATGTCGCTAATGATCGATAGAGCTTGGTTGACCTGAACAATACCGTGGGGCACTGGAAAGAGTATTGTCATGATATCGGCCCCTGTCGCGGGCATGAACACTTGTTGAGAAAACCGTACAAACAGCACTAAAACAGTGTGTTTTCATGGGATATGGCACCTTAGTTTTCTCTTCTCCTCTTCTCCACGTCAAGAAAAAGCTATACGGCGAAGCTTAAAATGACACATTTACTGCTTTTTTTTCATGCTCTAATTAATGAACTGCTTGCTTGGAGTAATCATTTAGAGCCTAGCTGCCTAGATTTATCAACTTCACTTTTATGGCGTACTTCTCAAAATTGTCGGCAGTCGGTGCAGATTTTTTTTTTTTATCGACACAGAGTGTACTTCCCGGTAAATTGGTCGGCACCCCATTTTCTTCAACTATCTACATGGCATTTGACAGAATACATATATAAGGCTGAGTTCTTTTTTCAACTTTCACAACTCACATATCTCGTTTTCCACGCGCTCGTTTTTCAAACTACTAAATGGTGTGTTTTTTACAAAAATTTTATATACGAAAGTTACTTTAAAAATTATTTTAATATATTTTTTTAAAATTAGTAAATACTTAATTATTTATAAGAAAATGTGTCGCTACGTTTTGCGTACGCGGGAGGTGAACCTCACCTCCCGAACACAGCCTAAAAATATTGTGAATTCTAAACCGTTGAATCATTTTGAAGTTGTGCAACATCCCCTCCCCAGCCTCTCCTACCACCGTAATATTGCGTGCAGATGCTCCCTCGCCTCCTAATTGCCATCTCGGCAGACCAGAAGGTGTCAACCCCCCCCCCCCCCCGCGCCACCCCTCATCTCCTTAGTCGGCTGGCCTCCTCCCTTCCCATGCCCCCTCTTTCCTAAGCTGGCGGCGGTAAGTGCCTGTAACATCCCGGCCTAGGGTTTAATAGGATTAATAGAATATTCATATCAACAAGTTGCAACTTCTTTTCCGGAAGCCAATCTCCAAATAACTCCAGGGTTAAGCGTGCTTGGCCTGGAACCGGGAAATTCTTCCCGGGTGCACACGAGTGAGGACAAAATGTGCAGAAAAGACATGTGTTGGTATGTGAGGACAGTCTATGACCTATGAAAGCTGCCAAATGTAAGTGGGCCCGGCCTGGGAGAGGCGGGTCGTTACAGTGCCCCTACCCCAACCATCTTCCTCGTCTCTAGAAGCAACCTGCTGCTAATTATATATAAAAAAAAGGTCAATGCTGGCTCACTGCCCTCCTCTATTCCCTTGGCTCCGATGTTGTCATCCGCCGGCCTGGGAGAGGCGGGTCGTTACAGTGCCCCTACCCCAACCGTCTTCCTTGTCTCTGGAAGCTCCCTGCTGCTAATTATATATAAAAAAAAAGGTCAATGCTGGCTCACTGCCCTCCTCTATTCCCTTGGCTCCGATGTTGTCATCCGCCTGTGTCCACCGTCCACCATCTCCCATGGCCTCCCCTCTAAACCCGACAATCCCCCCCCTATCTCCTCCTCTCACCCCAACACTAACCCATACCCTAAACCCTGACTCATGAGGCCATTGCTGATCACCAAAGTTGTGGAGTTAGGTTCATCGTTCACTGGAGCATGAATCGTAAAGCAAATTATAAGGTTAGAAATTTATAAAGATTTTACCCTCCCATATTCTCTTCAACATCCTATTTGATGTTGTGGAGTAGTGAAATATAATGCAAATAATTGTGAAAAGCTTAAAGAAAATCATAACAGTGTATGGTGGTCCCTTAAGTAACTAATATAACATAGAAGCAGATAGGGATTGTGCGCGTGTTGATAGGTTTGAATTTTAACATTTGCATGAAACTATATTATCTAACGAAATGTATGAGACACTGAATGAATCATTTTTTATCACTTCAAGGTGGTCCTCAGCTGTAGCTTTCGAGTTTTTTTAGATTGCTCGATCAAAACCAGCAAAAAGAGAATAATTGGTGCTGTCCATTGTTCTTATCTAATCTAAACGGATTAAAGTGCGTGCTTATTCTTATATACTACTACATCCGTAATAGATAGCACAAGCATATACTATGTGCTTTGCTCCTCTACCTTTTCATCATTTTCTCCTTTTGCTTGGATATGTGCAATTTAGTTCCCGTGCCTAAATTTAGTATATCTAGCTATCTAATGATTCTGTACTCGTATAGTCATTTTCATCCACATGCCAATTAATTAAGGCTTAGTTTTTTTTAATTATTTAACAGGTTGTACATTGAAATAGACTATTTACTTCACATTCCAAAAAAAATACATTTTATAAAGCAACTTCTATGGTATTGTTTAGGAGTGATTTTATAGTACTTGCGAAGCTATCGAGAGATACCGTATTTTCTAATATAAATTTTAATATCTCTCGGTACTTTCGATCCTAGAAGATACAAAAATCTGCACTAAAAAATTTTAGTGCCTCTGGTACTTTTTGATATCTCTCAAGGATCGTAAAATTTCTAATTATTTAAACTAGTTGTTTTAAGTTATTTGTTAACTATCAAGATATTTAATATATATACTCATATTAAATAGATAATCCATAATAATAATCTGCTTGTATGACTCGGCGGAAACGGTGGATCACTAACTTTCTCTAGAAAAGATAGAACGAAAGAAAATCCCCGGTCTGGATTTTGGAATCGGCGAGCCGCGGATGATATTTGCAGTGCAATCTAAATAATCATTACCTCACTCTAACAAGTGATCAGGCTCACAAATTCATATGGTGGGCTCCACGTCATTTCGTAAGACAACAATATACAATCATGATGACGCAACCAGTGCAACAATCAACAAAAGAAGTCCATCAATTCGATGATGTAACTATGTAAGGCTGTTTCTCACTCACGCAAGAAGATTTTGTGATGTGTTCCCTGAACCATTTTCTAACAGCGTGCCAACGTATAAAATACTACTACCAGCCGAACAATTAAGAAAAACATTAATCTTCCTTGCACCGTCTGCCTACGTTCAATTAACCTCCTCAGATGCTACACCAGTCTTTTTTTTTCTTCAACTCTTCTAACAAACAAATAACTCTAATTCAAAGAGTTTAGGATGTACAATATTCAGTATAAAGGGGTAAATTAAATGGAGTTATAAACCGGAATTAAAAACCCTTTCTCCAACAGTGAAATGGAGTTCTGTTCCCACCAAAGAAAGAAATAGAAAACTTTATTTCACGAATAAACATATTGGAGGTAGATCGATCACTGGATTACATATGTGATTTATACTACATATTTTTTTCGAACAAACATATCCTGAGAGTCTAAATAGGACCTGGTCTCATAAGATTTTTTTTTCCTCTCCACCACCGCCAAGCACCAATTAAAACACCTAGCTGACAGACCAAGCTATCTGTACCAATGTACCATACAGTGATCGTTCAACACTGGCTACTGTTATCACTACTAGCTAGTGCCACCCATGAACATATATGGAATAAGAGACAACGATGACCACACTTCCACACAATTAAGGGCGGCGACGACATTCTTCGCGCGGAACCAACTTGGGATAGATGAGAATACAGTACTACAATCATGCCAGTAAAGCCTAGCATGCCGCCTATTGCTCCACAGCCATTTTCGCTATCATGCATGGCCTCACAGCGCAGGACGATCGAGCTTGCATTGGGAGCTGAAAATCACCCGGAGGAGTCGCTGTTATTCGACCGATGCATCGCCATGGGTGCAGTGGTCCCCGGAGCATATCAAAACAGTCGCCCAATGGCTGCTTGATCGTCAGGTCTGCTGTTGCTGCCGCATGTCGTCGTGGATGGCCTCCCGGCCATCAGTGTAAGATGAAGCTGTGGCCGTTAATTGCTCGACTTTGCGTGCGTCCGGCGCCGGGACCCGCCGGCCATGCACGGTCGGCTTGAACATATGTCCGTCGGTCGCCGTCGTCACCGAATTTCAGGCCGCTGCTGGACAGAAAGAAGCATATTCTGGTGTCGTGCAATAAGAATCTAGAATGAGCCCTAGAGATGTAGGCTTTGCAAGAGAAGAGAATTTTATATAGCCACTTCCTTGTTCTTCATATATATAGCTAGAAGAAACCAGGGATAAAAAAGAAGCAAAAGTGGGTATGTTTCATTGGTGTTTTGGTTGAAATTTGCGAGTAATATGTGTTACATATTTATTTGAAAGTGCATTGTATGGTTGTAACCTGTTAGTTAATACTATCACTTTTTTTCTCTACCACGACAATGTCATGTGTTTTATCCTCAATCCACCTAACCAGCCAATCACCAATCATATATAGGTCTCAATCTACTTTCTCCACCATTCCCCAATTATATATGGGTGTAACCCGTTATAATACACGGACTTATCAATAAAACTTTCAGTAACGTGCACCGCGTACATCGTCCCAGCATACTGCGTTTAGTGCAAGCAGACAGGCACGCACGCACGCAGAATCGAACTGTATCACGTCGATCGGGTGCTGGATTTGCGAGAAAAGCAAACCTGATCAGGGACAAGCACGCGCACTCACGCGGATCAGTTCCTCCACATTCTAGAACTGATCGACCTGCCTACAACCACGAGACTGAATGATATTGATCGATCACACTAGATGACAAATGAGCATGCATGCAGCCACATATTCACACACTGATAGATACGACTGATCACCGATGCATCACAACTTCACAAGTCGCACTGAAACTGAAATAAGTCTTCGGTACAATGACAAGCGGTAGCTAGGTAGCGTCTCCTGAATCTTCTCTGCATGCATGGCCATCGTGACATGTCGAATCAGCGACAGATGCACGCCGCACAACTCTCTACTGAACGGTCATGCAGGGTCAGGCGCGCCCAATCAGTGAGCACCTGCAAAACCAAGCACGCATCCTTGCCTCACCGCCTTTAGCTTATCACATTTCACATGCATGCATAGTGCTACACAGTCTCGGTGTGCTTTCAACCGGTCGGCGGACGGCGTCTCGGTGATGCCGATCTTTACCTTCCATATATCAGGGCGAGCGAGCGATCGACCCGCCACCCGGCGCCACCTCACCGTCGCCGACCACTACTGACACCCCGGCCCACCCCGCCACTACGCCGAAAGACGCACACCACCTCGCCCGCTAGTGCTCGCCGTCGCGCTCATCTCGACGTACCCCCAACCCGACCCCACCCCATGCATCTCACGGTCACGGACGGCTGCCTGCTCGATCAACCGCGCGCGTGACTGCGTGAGGGAGAGAATCTATTGTACGGCTCGGCGCGCGCTGCAATCGATCGATCGGCAGCGCGCGCGTCACGCCGCACCCACGGCGAAATCCGCGTAACAATCGCGTCGCGTACGTCGCGTAGCGCGGTTGATTTGCCGGACGAGGTGAGCACACACGACTACACGAGCCGCGCGGCGGGCGCACTCGCGCACGGTTGGGTGGGTGTTGGTCGTTCGATCGGTCGCCCCGCGCCTTTTGATCCGCGGGATCTTTTTCTCGACCGATCCGATACTCGCCCCGTCGGCAGCTTTTGACGGATCTTTGGAGGCGAGACGCGACGTCGGCTACGTGGGACTGGGATATTTGGCTGGCTGGCTAGCTTCTGGCGCACTACGCGCTCGTGCACATCTCGTCGCTTGTTTATATTAAACTGAAATGTATCATGCATCGCTTTTGAGCGTGATACAATCACACTAAATAAGCTTCTTTTAATAAAAAGAACAATCACACTAAATAATTTGGGGCCCTTTTGCTGCAGGCAGCGGGTGGGGAGATCGATCGGCCTCACGTTCCTTTGGTGTGGGCGATCTGGGTCTATCATCCTGGGATTGTATATAATACTAAAAATCTTCTCTGCAAAGCAGGGGACACAGTGGCACACTAACCATATGTACGCCACACGGTTTCTTTGATCTCCTTTTTCACTGGAGTTTTGGCGAGGTGGAAAGTAAAGAGGACTCGAACCTTGAATGTTTGAACTTTGAAGGGACTGCTTACCGGATGGACGTGTGGCGATGTATTTTTTAACTGAAAGAAATTTGGCAAAATCACCTGCGCGCATTATAGTGCACCAGTAAAATCGACAGATGCCTGATTCCTAAGACTCGGACCTAAAGGTGCTTTTGTGTTACGCATCGCATCCATCTATAACAGGTAACCCCCACCATTTCCACGACTCCCTTAAAAAGCTCCATCAGCTGCTTGACACATGACGAACTATATCGAACTAGGATTCTTTTGGTGGTAATTATTGTTCTCCTGGTGGCCTTTTTAAGTTTAATCCTAGTAACTGACAGCGGGGATGGTCATGAGGGATGGCAATTCAACATCAATGTCACGAAATGTGATAGTAGTGCGAGCTAAAGTAACTAGGTTCTTATCACCTGTTGCGACAAATTTGTCATGTGATAAAACGATTAGATTTGGATGATCACAGCGACTTTTTGTGCTGGATACAATGCACTAGTGACTTGCATCATCGATCCTTATGGGTTTCAAAAGTTAGCAGATATACGTAAAAGAAAGCAGGCAACTTTTTCCCCTCAAGAAAACATGGATGATGGATATCGATGGCCAGTTACGTACCTTAGATTATTATTCACGAAAGACTTGATTGAACTCCCGTGAAGCGGTGAATGCAACAATCAGAACGATATGCGGTGAAGACTTGATTCTCTTTGCGGCCCAGATGGGTGGTGACAGCCCATTAAGCCTGAAATTTTTGAGCTGTTTTCATTAAGTACTTCTCTCAAAAAAAAATATTAAGCGCTCCTAATTAACAATGCAATACACTGGAACAGCATTACAGACTCTGTTTTGCAGTTCAGTAGGAGAAATGTTTCTCCTTGTTGCTTAGTAAGAGCTTAAGCTGTGCAATATTGCTACAGTAATGAGTTTAATGGGCTTCAGATGTTAACACTCTTCAAGACCTGGGCTCTGGTGTGGTGGTGGTGTGACCAAGAACAGTCGAGTAATATGGAAGTTTGACTGCATGAAATTTTGCAAAAAAGTACAGCACCTAGAATTCCTGAACCAACTGCATAGACATGTCAAGTAGAAATGTGAATCAGGACCTTTCAGGAACACTCGCTTAGTTTGCAAGTAATCCATGAAGTCCCAGCCCTAGCCTCCACCATTGCACCATCATGCATGAATACATGATAAAAACGGTGAAACTGGGAAGCTGCTACTCGGATTGATCGTCGTGTCTGTTTCGTGATCACTGTTTTTTTTTTCCTTTCTCCTGGACGTGATTTACCTCGTTCCTAGTCGATGCAAGTTGATTTCCACTCCGTGTTTCCGTCGCGTGGTTCTAGAGAACAAGTGTGGAGTAAGAAACACTCATTGTCTTCTTTGGTTTTATCAGTTTGGGAATGGGAGCGTGTAGCATGACTTATGTTAGACATGTACAGATGTACTAACTCTGGTTTAAGTCTTGGAATATAGTCAAAAGACTAGAAGAAAACAAGCGACAAAACTGGAGCTTCACCAGTTTAAATATTCCAAGCTGAAGAAGGCTTAAACGACCAGAGGTTAATTTGGTGTCATCATCCAACAAAGTCAACTTGGTCTACAGATTACAAGCACATTTTTACCTATCCATTTATAACATAGACTTTCACCAAGGGTGTCAGGGCTCCAAGAAATGCCACCTGCATCCAGCTCTGCAGCGCCAATCTCAGCATTTCTTGCTCGATAACAATTGGATATAAATGCTTATTCTTCACTCATACTGCTACTACTATTTATTGGCGCCCTACGCTGTAGCTGTTTTGAAACTGTCCCTATACCTTTCGAGGGCAGAGTGCTTTCCCATACCACACGTGCACGGGGGCAAAAGCCGATGTGCCACGCTCGGCGTACCACGCGGTTAAGCGCGTGTGTAAACACGCACAAACACGGCCTAAGCACATCGATTAGCCGCGCAAAAGTACAAGGGAATTAAATTTGGAGTCTGCACCCTGGAAACATGGGATCCTGGATACTAACAAACTTATTACATGGCCACGCATTGCAAGGGGCATGAGAAGGAGGATAACTTGAACCGGAAGGGTTTGACTCAGCTCACCCGAGTAGGGGCTAGCTACTGTACTACACTTGCTAGTAGTAACATCAAACGGAGGCCGCACGAGTGGGTTGGCATTGGGCACAGCAAGATCGAGGTCAAGCAAGCAAGAGACAAGGAACTAGCCATACCTGTCGAGGAGAGAGGCAGATACGCCTGGCTCACCAGGTCAGTCACCAGCTCGAACGACCATTCCAGGACACCATGCTACAAAGGGCAGACAACTGAAGCAATAAGCATTAGTAATGTATCTACATATGTTAACACTCCACCGTAAAAAGTCTGTAAAACAAGAGTGCATGTCACCTGCTTAGCACACAATAATTTAAAAGGTACTCCCTCCATACTTGTAAAGAAAATCGTTTAAAACAATGTTTAAGTCAAACTTTGGGAATAGAAATCATAAATAACTCTTAAGTTGTTAAGTTTGAAAATGTAAAAATTATATAAATAGATTTGTCTTGAAAAATACTTTCATAAAAGTATACATATTTTTATAGAAACGAGAAGTCAAAGTTGTGTTTTGGAGATCGTGTCGCTATCCAAAACGACTTTCTTTACGAGTACGGAGGGAGTATTAGCACAAAAACACATCTATTTGCAAGATTTTTACCGCTAGTTATTTGTAACAAGATCATACTAATGCAGGAAGGAATACTCGTAGAAATAGAACTGGTATGAACACTTCAGATCTGAATAGAAAACTGCATAGGTTTCCACGGACCGACTTTTAGCATTTGAACTCAGAGGTTTGACCCTAATTACCCCTCTATAAACCCCCTACAAGTGACCTCTTCCCTCATTTAATTCTAAGCTTCTTACACTGTTGGGTGCTTGGACGACAGGGAAGGAAAACTTGGGCCCATGGGATTTTGGGTTGCATAATTTTCCTAATTTAATTTCCTGATGCAAGGGACGAATGAGAGGGCTGCACTTGGATCCATGCAGGATTTTCGCATCAATGTCTGTAGAAGTTCTGTTGATGGGCCCAATGCAACACCATATGCACGAATGGGCAGGCCTGAAATTTTCGTTTAGTTAAAAGTGTGATGGCAAGTGGCTATGGTGGTAACTTGATGACTATGACTGTTATGAATATACTTGTATCTTGGTATTTCCATACAAGAACTTAGTGTGTAAAATATTGATCTGGTTTCAACTAACTGTAGCAGCCTAGCACGCTAGCAAAATCAGACGTGTAACAGTATAACCAAAACACATAAAGGATGCCAAGTTACCGTTCCTTGAAGCTAGAACTGACTGAGCAGGTTAAATGGTTAATAGCCAAGAAAGGGATGCGCCTAAGAACACACCAGGTGGGCTGACAAAATAAGGACCCTCAGAATAGCGACGAACAGATGGGCACAAAACATTGTCCCTACATGACAAAGGTAGTTAATAGTGTGAATTACAATCCTAGGTTGGCAGCACTTTGCACGGTAAGGAGAGAGAAATAATAATCTAGAGATGAGCAGATTCTTAAATTCTCAACACCCCTTTACACATACAAACCTCTTGGCTGTAACACCTCATCGTCGACTAATAGATCACTATTCAGATAGTAAAATAATGACTTAGGTTGGAATTATAATAGGTTTGACCATTCGCAAGCTTACAACAGCAAGAGACATTAACATCTTTCCAAATGAAAGATAAATAACTTTTCTTTGAGAAAGAAAGATAAATAACTTATCCAGACATGACCATAAAGGACATCTTCAGAAAATGACCTAAATTAATACCATATAACAGAAATCAGAGATGTTGATAAAAAAAAGTCTCTATTTCTTTCTGGAGGAATTTTAAAATAATGTACCTCAGAGTGTAAATATGACCAACATAAGCAAACATGTAAATTGTTCTCTGCGATGTTTTTAGACACACAGTTGCTAGTGTTTAACAATTCCCAGTAAACTTCAATTATATAGGTAAGAGAGAAAAGGAAAGGAATGGAGAAAGGGATTTTTGGATCATTAGAGGATGATAGGTATTTTTTGATACCAATGTAAAATATAGATGTTGTCAGAGAGAATTAGGCTCTTAGTGTTCCAATATAATACTGTACTGTACTTACTTGGAATTTGGAAGTCTCTGATGTCTTGGGAATTGTTCCACATAGTTCACTATGGACAACCCAAGGAAACAACTACAAAAAAATAATTATCCAAATATCTAAGGAGTCAGATTATTCTCTCAAAGGTCTAATTATAAGAAATGAGGCATATGTGAGAACTCTATTAGATTAGATGCTAAGCTATATAAGCAATGATGCATAAGTACAGTTCAGTTAACTTAGTGTAATAAGAGAGATTGCTAATCCCAAAATTACTGCTGAAGTTGTACAGCTCATCGAGATCCTCGTCATGGAGTAAAGACCAAAGAGACCCTGCATGAGTTCAACAACAGGTGAGGGTTTTAAAATTCTGCTATAAGAACTGTACCTGAGTGCAGGCAAAGGTGCGAACGACAAGCCAAATAAAAACCCTACAAAGGGAGCAACCAAGCGAGGAGGGTTAGCTGAAGTCTGAAACTTAAGGTCGAGCTTCTTCTTTCTAACAGCACGTGATAGCTGTCTCATAGTTTTCTTGCAAGTTTCAGTTCAGATTAAGAATATAGCTCGCTCTTTTGTTGATAAGAAAGCACGTACTGCTAAGAGCTAGCTTTGTTCAGGTCTGGAGGAAGCTACAGTTATATGTAATCTTATGTATAATTGTTCCTTTTCTATCTTCAGTAACCAGCAGAAACCAAAATCTTTTAGGTATAGCCATTAGGGTTTGTTAGCTCGTAAGGTCTTGATAACCAGAAGTAGGTGAGAGTGAGCACCGTTTGAGCTAGCTAGTTACCATCCACCAGTAGTTTCTGTACTGTGTTGATATGGACGAGATGAGGAGTAGTGACATAGAGAAGCAAGATGAAGTCATGCTACCTGGCTTCAGGTTTCATCCAACGGATGAAGAGCTCGTCAGATTCTACCTTAGAAGGAAAATCCAGCAGAAGTCTCTTCCCATTGAGCTCATCAGGCAGCTGGACATCTACAAGTATGATCCATGGGATCTCCCAAGTAAGATTTGTTACTTCCATTTTCATTCTTTTTTCCGTTCTCTGCACAGATAAATAAAGAACTATGAAGCCTTTCTCTTTCAAGATAACACTAATTATATGTTTCCTATTTTTACTTTATGACTTTCATGGTGCATGTTCCATCATGTTTCCTATTTTTACTTTATGACTTTCATGGTGCATGTTCCATCATGCTGAGACTTCGTATCTTAGTAGTAATAGTTTTTTCTTCTTTTTGCCACCATGTTGAAGTCGAACTCTAAACTTTTTGCATGCATCTTTATTTAGTTGTCTCTGAGGTTTTGATAAGGAAATAAGAAAAGTAACTACCTAAGAGTTTTCAACCTGCCTCTTAAGCGCTACTACTATAATGTCCATTCATCACGAAGCCCATGCAGTTTTAGGGTTAAGCCTCATAAAACATTTAGAGCAAGATTTGCAAGTCTACCAAGCTATTAATGTCATGATGTATTCTGAGATTTGGCTTTCAGTAGTGTTAATGTGGTATAATTGATTTACAAGTATCACAGTTGGGCTCTCAAGACTAAAAAGGCATGCGGATAGTAAATAGATTATTTTTCATGTGATGCATATGCCTTTTATCAGTCAGACCAGTTAGCCTAGCTGACTAGCTCACGTTTTGTTTTAAGTCAGTGTTACACAATAGACACCATTTAACTTATTTCTAGTCATATTTACTTAACAAATCCTTTTTTCACCGTGAAGAGTTAGCAAGTACTGGAGAGAAGGAATGGTATTTCTACTGCCCAAGGGATAGGAAGTACCGGAACAGCACAAGGCCAAACAGGGTGACTGGAGCAGGTTTCTGGAAGGCCACTGGAACCGATAGGCCAATCTACTCCTCCGATGGATCAAAGTGCATAGGCTTGAAGAAGTCCCTTGTCTTCTACAAGGGCAGAGCAGCTAAAGGCGTCAAAACTGACTGGATGATGCACGAGTTCCGGCTGCCATCGCTCACTGACCCTTCATTGCCACAGAAGAAGCCACTCGAGAAGATCATTCCACCAAATGTAAGCAACTGGCATGCTGCAACATTTGAAAACAAAAAACTTCAAACCTTAACACATATGCTACAAAAGTAGCTTAGGCATAGCTACCAAAACTGGCACTAAGGTAGATGATCTGAGCAATACATGTCTGCCCATAATTACAATGGGAAAACTTGCAATATAAACTGCAAAAGGCCTAGCATATGTAGTGCTTTCCGAGCTAATTCAGTATGACACCAACAATTTCATATACCATTTCCTTGTGAAGATAAGTTGAATGCACTTTTTACCTGAAAACACTGCCCTAATCTTATTCTTCTTTTTTCTTATCATGAGCAGGATTCCTGGGCAATCTGCAGGATTTTCAAGAAAACCAATTCCACGGCACAAAGAGCGCTCTCACACTCATGGGTATCTCCTCCCTTGTCCAGCACAAATGAAGCCTACACTGCCCCTGTCTCGCAGACCACACAGAGAAGTCAGCATACCTCAGATAACACATCATCAGTAATGACCGATGCCATCTCCTCCACCATCCAGTTCACCGGAAGTAGCTACTTGCCTTCAACAGTTCCTTCATGCCACAACCCACTCAGCATGATTGACAGCAACAGCAGGCCAGATGCATCTGTACCTCTACCCTCACCGGTTGCAGAGCATCAGACCATGGGTATCCTCTCAGCAATCCCACTTGATATTACAGCTGGGATTGACATTGCATCCATGGTTTTCAATGCATCATCCTTCACACTCCCAAACATGGATAGAATGACTGCAAACATAGAGTTTGGCCAACCACAGAAGTGCAACAGCAGCAGCAGCATGACCAACAGATGTGTGGTCGACATGCCTGATGTTGCTAACAATATCAACAGCGGTCCACGGTCCATCAACTTCAACCTGCAAGGAACACTTTCTGATGACTGGAGAATGACCTTGCCATGGGAATCACTCCCTTGCACGACAGAAGTCTCAACAAATTTCCAGTCAACCAAGTGCTATACTTAGGTTTCTAGTAATGTAGGTTTGGTTTTAGAATGCGGTAGTGAAGATTAGCATCTACCTCTGTCTGCTAGTATTACTGTTAGCATGAAGAGGTATTCGAATTTCGTTCTGTTAACAGTGAAGCTAACAGAATTAGGAAGCAATATGCTACTAGTCCACAATGTAGGATGCATCATGGAACTAATTACCTCCTTATGCAGTGCAAGAGTGGTTGTCGTCCGTCTCATGTGTAATCGTAGCTCGGTTCCAATTTTGTCCATAGTTGCATGTACTGCAAAATGCGTAGGGTATTAGCAAATACTCCCCTGATCAGCTGATTGTCTTCATTTCTTCGTTTTTCCTAGTTCTGAACATTGACAGTTGTTGCCTTTTTGGTTCACATACCTTGCGCACATAACACCTCATAAATCGAAGAATCGATAGCAGACGCAACAAGAGGGATCCTCGCTGCAGTGATGGTGAGGTCCCCGTGCACTCCGCCCCCGTCGGACTTGAATTCTGAATTAGTTGGAATCCCGTACAGATTGGGTCACTTACAAATCCTCGAGGTGTGGATCGTGCTCGCGATCGACTGAAGCGGCGTGCGGCGAGCCGCCCGTCCGTGGCGAAGTCCCGCTGGGCATTCCGCCGAACGGGTGGCGCGCACCGCCACCAAGCGGCACTCCCCCGGCGGCGGTCGCCGTCTTGTGGCCGGATATTAGCCCGCTACTGTTCCTTCACGCCCAACGGCTGGCCTGCCACCGCCGGCTGCGAGTTCACGGCGCCTCGCCGACATCGAAACCGCGATCTCCATGGAGCCCTCAGCCCTCTCGTTTCCGTTTTGGCGAGGCGGCAGGAGAGAGAGTAGAGAGAGACTCATCAGGACTGACGTTTCGTCGCTTCGACAGTTCGACCTATAATCGGCCCGGATAAAAATCTATTCCTGTCCAGTTATTAGTGGACCAAATGGGTTGACCTTTGTCTCAAACTAGGCCCAGTTTGGTTAGAATACTGGGCCTGTCGTGATGGTTGGGCCTAAATCCGAATAGGTTATCTGCATCCAGATTGACAGTCCGCTCGTTCACACTGTCAAGATATCGGCAACTCCAACAATATTGTTAGGCAAATCATCGACATGCCACCACTAGCCATGATAGTGCGACCAAACCAAAACCAATATTTTAACCTTTTTTTCCTTAGTTGCGACACACAAAAAAAAAAGTCAATGCACCCTCGCAACACCCACTGACATCGGGCTAGGATAACCCAACAATCACATTGTCAAAACAGAAGACGGTATTCTGCATTCTGCACTAACATGGTTGGCCGTCGTCATCCGGCGCCTTACTGGTCATCACCAACTCACTGCTCCTCTCAGTGTGCCACTACCGGACACACTGACCATTAACCCACTTCAAATCCGATCGCACAAGGAGGTTGGGAGAAAAGCCCCACATGTCAGTGACACGGCCAGCCTCTCACGTCAAACCGTTGAAACCCCAAATGTACAGTCTATGAGTCACTGGCAGAAGGGCCCACGAGAACCTAACTAAACCCACCTCGCCGGCGTTAGAAAGCGTTGCGCGCCCTTTTCCTCCGCATTTCGCCTCGGGATTGCTCGACGGCGAGCGATTCCGACTTCACGCGCTCCCATGGCAGGCGGCGGCGGCGGCGGCAGAGCTTCCGCGCAGCGGCGGGCGGCGCTCGCGGCGCTGATCACGCTCCTCTTGCTTGCGTCCCTCGCTTTCCTCCTGTCGGCGACGGGCACCGCCTCCGCCCCGAACTCCGCACCCTTCCGGCTGGCCGCCATTCGCCGCCACGCCGAGGACCACGCCGCCGTTCTCGCCGCCTACGCGGCCCAGGCGCGGAAACTCAGCGCGGCCTCCGCCTCCCAGACGGAGTCTTTCTTGTCTATCTCCGGGCATCTCAGCTCGCTCTCGTCCCGCATCTCCCTGTCCACCGTCGCGCTCTTGGAGAAGGAGACGCGCGGGCAAATCAAGCGCGCCCGCTCCCTGGCAGGCGCCGCCAAGGAGGCGTTCGACACGCAGTCCAAGATCCAGAAGCTCTCCGACACCGTCTTCGCCGTCGACCAGCAGCTCCTCCGCGCCCGCCGCGCGGGCCTCCTCAACTCCCGCATCGCCGCCGGCTCCACGCCCAAGTCGCTCCACTGCCTCGTCATGCGCCTCCTCGAGGCACGCCTCGCCAACGCCTCCGCCATCCCCGACGACCCGCCCGTCCCGCCCCCTCAGTTCACCGACCCGGCGCTGTACCACTACGCCATCTTCTCCGACAACGTGCTCGCCGTGTCCGTCGTGGTGGCCTCCGCGGCGCGCGCAGCCGCCGAGCCGGCGCGCCACGTCTTCCACGTGGTCACCGCGCCCATGTACCTCCCGGCCTTCCGCGTCTGGTTCGCGCGCCGGCCGCCGCCGCTCGGCACGCACGTGCAGCTCCTCGCCGTCTCGGACTTCCCGTTCCTGAACGCCTCCGCCTCCCCGGTCATCAGGCAGATCGAGGACGGCAACAGGGACGTGCCGCTGCTCGACTACCTCCGGTTCTACCTCCCGGAGATGTTCCCGGCGCTGCGGCGGGTGGTGCTCCTGGAGGACGACGTGGTGGTGCAGAGGGACCTGGCCGGGCTGTGGCGCGTCGACCTCGGCGGCAAGGTGAACGCCGCGCTGGAGACCTGCTTCGGAGGGTTCCGCCGATACGGCAAGCACATCAACTTCTCCGACCCCGCCGTGCAGGAGCGGTTCAACCCGCGCGCGTGCGCCTGGTCCTACGGCCTCAACGTGTTCGATCTCCAGGCTTGGCGCCGGGACCAATGCACCCAGCGATTCCACCAGCTCATGGAAATGGTAAGCTAGCTCACCGCGATCCCTCTCGATACGGCTGAAAATGCAATTCGCTTTCGGTTTTTTTGAGCTTGATGTTGCTCGTGTTCGTGCCATGCAGAACGAGAACGGCACGCTGTGGGATCCAGCGTCCGTTCTGCCGGCGGGGCTCATGACGTTCTACGGCAACACGAGGCCGCTGGACAAGTCGTGGCACGTGATGGGACTCGGGTACAACCCGCACATCAGGCCGGAGGACATCAAGGGAGCCGCGGTGATACACTTCAACGGGAACATGAAGCCGTGGCTCGACGTCGCCTTCAACCAGTACAAGCATCTCTGGACCAAGTACGTCGACACCGAGATGGAGTTCCTGACATTGTGCAACTTCGGACTCTGATCTTTGCTACGATTTCAATGGTAATGATCAGATGTAGGTTCAGTCGTTTCTGCCTGCCGCTGTTGTTGCAACTTGCAAAAGCAGACGAGTTAATGGCTCTGCTCCGCTAACTGTATTGTGTTTGTCCCCCTTGTCATTTAGGCTGTCTGAACTGAAGAAATCTCTCATGTATTATGGTACTAGTAGATGATATCCCGTTCATTACCGTGGGCATTTTGATTTTGTAGGTATTACCTAAAACTTTCTAACATTGCTCATATTCATACTTAGCAACCATATATGCAGAGAATAACGGAAATCAAATTAGAATAATGGTTGTGCTAAAAAAATAGAATAATGGCGTTATATTTTTACAAGACTGCACAAATTACTTCCACCCGGCGTCACCGTTCACCACCCTGCACAGTCTTGTTGTGCACCCACTTGGCAATATATTTTGGGGCATTTGCAAATTTGCCACCGGTTTTTTGAATATTGCAAGGATACCACTCGAATGACAGTTCTAGTGGCATTTTTGCAATTTTCTAGTGGCAGTTTTGCAATAACGATTCAAAGTAGTGGTAAATTTGCAATTGCCCCATATATTTTTGAAAAAATTACGAATTACCCCTCTGAAATAGGGCTGTCAAAAAAGCTCGAGGCTCGCCGAGTAGCTCGAGCTTGGCTCGTCCTAGGCTCGATTTGAGCTCGGCTCAAGCTCCAAACAAGCCGAACCCGAGCCTGAGCAAAAGCTCGCGAGCTTTACCCAGCCGAGCTCGAGCTTCTACCGAGTCTAGGTGAGCTTGACTGTATATAATTTATATTACATGTTTACCTTATTAATATAATAAACTAATAGATAAATATATATTAGTATCTATTTATACAGTAAATTAGCATGTGTTAGCACAATATATTTATTTTAATCATTTTCTACTCTTTTATTAGTGTGATTAGCTAGAAAATAATTATACTTATCAAGAGATTATCATTAAAATATATATTATACTACTTATAGCCGAGCTCGAGCTCGAACTGAGCTTGCCTAAAAGCTCGAAGTTGCAATAGGCTCGGCTTGAGCTCGAGCTTGGGCAGACGAGTTCACTCGAGTTTGGCTCGTTGACAGCTATACTCTGAACTATTGAGGTCGTTCGAATTACACCCCTAAACTGCAATATCGGATATTACAAACCCTAAACTCTTAAATCCGAACGAATCACCCCCCCTTAACTCAATTCGGAGTGGTTTTTGGTCTATATGGCATACATGGCAGCCTAGTCAGAAAAAAAAACGAAAAAAAACACAGTGGGGCCCAGTTGTTAGTGCATCTTCATTTCCTCTCCTTCCTGGCAGCTCAATCCCAACAGGCATGGCTCCGGTGATGTGGGCCATACGGTGGCAGGAAGAGGAGGCGATGCGGCGGGGCGCTTGCAGAGGCCAATGGCATGGAGGCGGAGGCGAGGAGGTTGGGATCCAAGACCAGCAGGCTACGTCGATTCGTGGTAGCGCAGAGGCGGCGATGGAGACGAGCTATGCGACGGGGCTCGACGTGCCGATTGCGTCAAATCCAGGCGTGTCGGAGCATGAAGCAGCACATCCTCCTTTGGCAAACGAGAAAGAGAGGAGGAAGAGTCAGAGCGGGAGGACTTTGGAGCTAGCGGTCGGGGGCGGAGCTCAAGCCTCAGGGAAACGGCCTCGAGATCGACGTTCCATAGCTTCGCCGACGTCGTCTAGGCTCGTCGGCGCCAGCCACCGCAGAGGAGCTTCGCCTCCAAGCCGCTGGCATCTACAGGCGCCCCGCCGCGTCGCCCTGTCTCCCCGCCACCGTATTTCCCCTACCATGGCCGTCTCCACCGCCGCACCTTCGCCTTCGACCGCGTCGCCCCCGCCGCCGGTCGTGCCGTCCTCGCCTCCGCCTCGATGCCGTCGGCATCTGTGCACGTTGCTGCTGCCCCTCTCGATCTTTCTCACGCTTTGTTAGCCGCGCCTAGAGGAACACAAGATTTTGGTGTCGCTGCTGCTACGTACTACCGCCGCTTGCCATCTTCGGCCTCCACCGACGGGCACCTCATCCTTGGGCTCCACCGCTGGCGCGCGGCTCGTCCTCGGCCTCCGCAACATGGCGCGCCGCTCATCCTCGGCCTCCCGCCGCTCGCCTCAGTGCGCCAGATACGGGGAGAGAGGGGAAGCGGCGAAGAGGAGGGGGGAAGAAGGGGAATTAGGCTGACAAGTGGGTCCCACCATGTTTATTTGTTTTGGCTAACAAATGGGTCCCATATATTTCTTATGTTTTGATTGACTAGACTGCCAGTCTACCATGTATCCGGTTTGTAAATTTTAGGGTTAAAAATAATCGGTATTAGAGTTCAGGGTTAAAAATCGGATGCGAGGGGTAATTTGTAATTTTTCCAAAAATTTTAGCAATAATATGGGCAAAAATTCCTGTTGGGCCTGGGCGTTGCGCGTTCACCACCGTCGGAAGCCCGAAAAACTCTTGCTAAGTGGTCCATGCAGCCCACCTGTGTCAGGTATAGAAGAAAGGAATAAGTTCATCTAAGGTCTCTTAAATTGTCAACGAATCCGATTTTCGCCCTTCAACCACAAAACCAGATACAATTGGTCCCTCAACTATCAAAACCGGTGCATATTAGGTCCCTCGGCGGTTTCGATGGCGGTTTTGGCTGACGTGGCGCCTACGTGGCTAATTTTGACTCGGTCTTGATCTGACGTGGCACTGATGTGGCGCTTACGTGGCAATTCGATCCGAAAAATAATAAACCCCGTGGGACCCACATGTCAGTTTCACACACAATAATAATAATAATGGTGGGACCCACGCGGACCCCACATGTCAGTCTAATTAACCCCTCCTCTTCTGCTTCCTCTCTCTCCTCCTCCCCCTCTTCGTCTCTCTCTTGCGCTGGGTCATTCTGATTCTCCTCTTCCCCATCTTCTCTGTCTTCATCTCTCTCCCCTCTCCTCTCTCTCTTCTCTTCGGTTCACGGGCGGTGGGGAGAGGACGGTGTCCGGCTAAGAGAAGGGGCGCGGCGCGGCGGCTGGTGGGAGGGAAACTAGTGGAGAGAAGGGAACCAGCCCGGCGGCGGAGGCAGTGCCGCCGCGGCCGTGGCTGCGGACGACGTCGACGTCGACCTCGGCATCTCGGCGGCGGGATGAACGTGTCCCGCCGACCGGCCGACACACGCGCGCATCCTCGGAGGCGGCCGTCCACGTGGGCGGGTGAGGGGGCCACCTCGCCGGCGGGAGAGGGGAGAGGCGGCCGGCTGCAAAGACGACCCCAGTGATGATGACGACCGTGCGGCGCGCGGCGGAGGCCGATCCCGTGAGCAGGAAGCTCTTCGTCCACGGCCTTGGCTGGGGCACCAGAGCCGACGACCTCCGCTCCGCGTTTATGTGCCTAATCATACAAAGGTAGAAGCAATAGCGACTAGTACTACCTGACTGGAGTATATTTTGCTTCGTCATCATCATTTGCTTGTGTTATGACGAGGTTGATGAATGAATGAATGATCATTGTTTTGGGCAAGAAAACACCGTTCCGGCCGGATTGACGAGGAACCCATATCGATCCGCTCGCCGTGGCCCATGGAAACCCAACAGGAGATGGCGGCGCTACCTTCCGCTGCCGGCGACTACTAATGGTGGGTGATGCTCGAGCACATTGACGAACTCGAGGTCGACGACGAGGACTCCAACTACAACTCCTGCTCCGCCGCTGCCGACGACACCGCCAATCCCGTGAGTCCATGATGACTTCGCTCACCTCCGACGGCCACGTCGTAAGAGTCTACTTCCACCTCGAAGCGCCCCCGGCGATGTCACACCTATGCCCCTAGCGGTCACTCTTATCCATTTCCGCCGCCGTCGTCGCCGGCCGCATCCCCTAGCGCAAGAGAGAGATGAAGAGAGGAGAGAGAGGAAGCAGAAAAGGAGGGGTGAGTTAGACTGACATGTGGGGCAGCGTGGGTTCCACCATTATTATTAATTTTTTTATGTGAAACTGATATGTGGGTCCCACGGGGTTTATTATTTTCCCGGGTCAAATTGCCACGTAAGCGCCACGTCATACCACGTCAGATCAAGACCGAGTCAAAATTAGCCACGCAGGCGCCACGTCAGCCAAAACCGCCATCGAAACCGCCGAGGGACCTAATATGCACCGGTTTTGATAGTTAAGGGACCCGTTGTATCTGGTTTTGCGGTTGAAGGACGAAAATCGGATTCGTTGATAAGTTAAGGGACCTTTGATGAATTTATTCCTAGAAGAAATCCGCCTCCTTGTAGCCACCGCTCCGTCGGTCAGTTGAACCGGTCTCCTCGAGCGCTCGGAGGAGCGGCAGGCGGGCGCCTCTCGATCTCCCCCCTCGCGAGTCCGGAGTCCGGACGGGGAGGCGCACAACTCCAGGAATCCAGGTGCTCCCTCCGTCCCTCCCCTTCTCCTCTGGTAGGCGCCGCGCAACTGCTCCACTCGTGTAGCGTAGTCGCCTCGCTGCTAGGACCGCCGCATCGGGGCCCGGGACGGCGGAAATCAGGCACCGACGACGTGGAAAACTTCGGTGACTGGTCTGTCACAGTCTCGGGGTCGTCCCTGTTGCCACTGAATCCGATCTTATTAGTCGTCCCCGTTGCCGCTGAATCCGATCTTATTAGTCGTCCCCGTCGCCGCTGAATCCGATTTATAATAAGAGTATAATAGATTGGGGACATCTCTCGTAAGTCCCAACGCTAATATCATCGCGACGCGCGGTCGTACGAGTGGTCGTCTCTTACTTTTTCAGGTAATAAAAAGCGCAGGCACCCCTCCCCTTATCCAGGTCCGGATTTGGGTTTCCCTCAAGTTTTTTCCGTTGTTCAATTGGATCGAATTAAACGATTTATGCCCGTACAGGGTTTGGTTTGAGTAGAATCATCTGTGGTGGTATATTGGTATTCTATATACTTTTTTTTTGATTTGGCTGTTTCGATCAGCCATGGTGAAGACGTCGGCCAACCCGAATGCCAAGGGCAAGGCCGCAGCTTCGTCCTCTGGTCTTCCGTCACCCAAGACCACGCCCAGAGGGGTGAGGCCTAAGGCGTTTAAGAAGAAGGCCAAGGCCGATCCAGAGATGCAGAAGGTGGCAGCTGCGGAAGCCGCCGCCACTGCTGAGACTGCATCGGCACCCCCTCTGAAGCCGGCTGAGGTCAGCCCAGCGGCAGCGGTGGCCAAGGAGAATGGAGGACAGAGGATGAGCAGAAAGGAAAAGACAAAGATGAAAGAGGGGGACCAGATGAAGGAGGATAAGAAGGGGAGAATAAAGGGGAAGGAAAAGAAGGACGATAAAGCGAGGGAGAGGAAGGGTGAAGCTGGGTTTATATTCATGTGCAGTGCTAAGACAAAGCCGGAGTGCTTCCAGAATGGTGTGTTTGGCTTGCCTAAGGGGAAGATCGATGTGGTGGAGAAGATCCAGCCAGGGGCAAAACTGTTCCTCTATGACTTCGACCTGAAGCTGCTCTATGGGATATACAAGGCCAAGACAAAGGGAGGGTTAGATCTTGTGCGAGGCGCGTTCCATGGAAAATTCCCTGCACAGGTAACTCTTTAGTCTGTGTGTTCCTTTCCTATGTTTTATGTTCCTTTCCTATGCTTTAGGTTCCCTGCACAGGTAACTCTTTAGACTTATTGTCAGTGCGTTCCTTTCCTATGCTTTAGGTTCCCTGCACAGGTAACTCTTTAGACTTATTGTCTGTGTGTTCCTTTCCTATGCTTTAGGGTATTGGGAGGACCTGGTCTGCTATTAGAGCAATACAACTGTCTTGATTATCCAGGCAATATAATTAAAATTTAAAACAACAAATCAGAACTAGAAACATTTCCTCAGGCTTAGGGGTGTGCAATGTCTAATAACGAATAATAATTTCAGGTCAGAACTGATTATTGATGTTTGACTCTTGTTTTGTTGTTCTGATTGGTGTTAATAATTGGAAATTTAACCCTAATGGAACGGTAAATGATTGCCAAGGTATTTTTTCTAGCATGACATTGTGGCTATTTAAATGGTCAAATAAGTTCTATGTTTTCAAAAAAAGGGACAATGATCATCGGTCATCATTAACTTAAATCCCCATTTGTACACATGTTTTTCTAACCTTTTTAACATAATTCGTTAGCCCATATGTTATTCGTTCAGATTGGTCTATCATTTTTGTAAGCAAGTGTCATGCAACTGGCACTAAAATACAAACAGCTCAGGATAAACTAGTCAACTTTTGTCATGAGTTGATTTATTCTTAATACTTGTTGACAACTTGAGAAACATGATTGCTCATTTTTATGGGGGAGTGCAACAGTTATGCCTATAAGTTAAGCTTTAACACCAGTTTGGAATATAGAATGTGGCCACATCCTATTGTTATGTTTTTGTAAGACACTAAAATTTGAGAAAATTTTGCATGTGGCAGCGGCTGTGTCATTTTCTTTTTTGCATGCCATCTTCAAAACTATATTTTTGTGCTTCCACCCAAAATAGCTTATGTTCTTATCCATGACACTGGTGACTTGTTGGATCCAGCCAACAACTAACTCTGAAAATTGGTATCTTTGTTATATGCTTATTCGACTATTCAATTCTTAAGCACTACTGGACCAACTAGGCATTGTCTACATGGAAATCATCCCACACTTGAAACATAAAAACTGCAATGACCCACAATGTTCCTAACAACGGTAGTGACAACGTGTTTTTGCCATTGCTACCCTTGTTCATGTCCATATGACCACATGGGCAGGGTCACTTGGTAGGGAACATGCAATGGGCAATGGCAAGGTTATTTGTACTAGTTTTTCTTTTCTTTTTGGTGGGGATCTACAGCTAGGTCTTACAGGAAAGAATCGACATATTGTCCACAAACAAAGTTAGGTGGCAACAGGAATGCTCTACAAGGTCGATGATGACTAACAAGCTATGAGGAGGCTAAAGGGGATAGTGCATGGTTAAGCCTAGAGAGGCCTGTGATGCTCTGGCTTTAAGGCTCAAGGTGATCGGTCAGTGATCTTGGTCTCCCATAAAGTGGTTAATGGAACATGGCTATTAGGCTGAGTTGAAGGTGATGATTGCGCTCAAACTAGCTAGGAACACGTAATGGGCGCACGCCTCGCCCTAGTGGTGAGGTTGTTATATGCATTTGTAAATAGTTAATCTGTATAGGCGGTGGTGTCGGAGATGAGAAATTGGTGCATCATCATTAGGTAAGTAAATGCTGATGCGAGTTGAACGTGATGATTGCGCTCAAACTAGCTAGGAACACGTAATGGGCGCATGCCTTGCCCTAGTGGTGAGGTTGTTATATGCATTTGTAAATAGTTAATCTGGACAGGTGCTGGTGTCGGAGATGAGAAATTGGTGCATCATCATTAGGTAAGTAAATGCTGATGCATCAAAGGCTCAGGTTGGGAAGAAGAGAGATTTGGTTGTGCTAAATGTAGGACCACATGGGAATGTAGGGAATGTAGGGCATTTTGTTTTTTCCCCTAACTCTTTCATGCTCACCTTCTCAATCTAATTCTCTAGTGGTATAGGAGGTCCAATCTCCTTTGTTTCGACGGCACAAAAAAATTGGATTATATAATGGCATATGCAAAGATTTACAAAGTTTTAATGGCGTATGTAAAACTCTCTTAAAATTATTATTTGGCGTGCTAGCTTTTAATTTCATATACACATACATTTTATTTTCGACAAATTGTACGGTCTGATCAAATTAAAGAAAATATAGGAAGATGTAGTAAGTACTATTGAAGAACAATGCAATTTAGTTTTTTAAAAATCGTCAATAACTTACTGCCAAGCAATGATGTTGAGCCTTACCTATCCGAACTTCGAAAAATTTCGACATAACTTTCAAGTTTAGCCATTCCATTTTATTAAGTCCTTCACATATCGTAATGCCTATAATGTTGATACCTCTTGGCTCATTGATATCTCCATCTACTTTTCTTTTTCCCTCTTATCCTCGTATTTTATTATTTTACAATTATTGTTGTAGCTAGCCTTTAAAGGCATGTTTATTTTATATTTTAGTCTAAAAATGACTTAACCTAGAATTGTCTCTGCACTATTTGTGTATGGTTGTGATACATCAACCTGAACTTTGAGAACTTATTTTAATTCCTTACTAGGCATTGTTTGAAGTTCTAATTATGTTAGTTGAAGAGTAAGCGACGAAGTTTGTTTATTGAGTTAACTCATTCCCTACTTCATAATGCTAGAAAGGACTATCTTAATCGAGTTCATTTCCTACCAAACTAATCTCTCAATTGAGTTTATTTTCTCAAAATTTGATCAAATTTCTCCTTGGGTTAAATAGAAACTAACTAGTTAATTGCCTTAGTTGTAAGTTCCAAACCTTAATTTTACCAACAATTAGTTTGGTAATTTTTCTCCAACCTTCAGGAGCATAAACTATATGTAGTATTATAACCATTTGGGCCTTTTGATTTATAATAAACATCTTAGTATGTCCATACAGTCCTAGAAAGAAACTCTTTTAATATGTTTGTAATGATATTCTTTGCAAGAAATTCCATGTAAGGAGTACGTATGGATGATACATATGAGAATCGGGGAACCAAGTTAAGTTGCACACGAACTTCGGGTTATCCTGATTCAATATAGTGGTGTTTTTTGTGTTTTACTAGAGCGCATCCATGAATATATTATTATTTTCTAAAGTGGTTGCTAAATATTATGTACCTTTTGCTTTACAATCTACATTAGAGTTCTCTATGTAATTCTACCATGAAGTTCTTCATTTCTTATATCAATCTACATCAATATAATAATATGGCCTACCAGAGTGGTAGGTCATTCTCCCTTTTTCAACTATTTGTGGGAATTACTATATTTTAGGTAATATAGAGTCTTTCTTTAACAATCATACTAATATATTTTTCATCGATGATAGACACTACTCCCTCCGTCCCAAAATATAAGCATTTTTAGTATAGTGATAAGTTAAACATTTTCAACTTACTATTAATAGCAAAAAAATAAAAAAAAGATCAAACATGTAAAAATGATGTTACTAGATTTATTATTAAACAAACTATCATAATATGCAACTTTTTTTTATTTAAAACATCTTACTTTTATAGATATTGTTGGTCAAAGTAGCATCTCGGAGACTGTGTCAGAGTCAAAAAAAATCTTATATTTTGGGACGGAGGGAGTAGATAAAATCGGATAATGTTTAAGGGTGACACTATTGTAGTCCAACTAACTTGTGTACGTGATATAGGTCAAATTTAAGGTTGACAAAGATTGCCTTCCTCTTCCGGAGAGTAGTTTCAAGCATGCCATTAAGGAGAACTACAATTCAAAGGGAAAGTTCACCCAGGAACTCAGCCTTAAACAAGTGAGTTGTGGAGATTCTTCTATGTAGTTTTAAAAGAGTGCCAAAAGAAAATTAAATTGTAAACATCAAGTTGTGTGCTGATGTCATAAGCTATGGTGCTATCTTGTAGGTTCATAGGTTGTTAGAACTATTCAAGCCTATTAGCTTGCCTCAATCATCTATTCAATATGTTAAAGAAAGGCATCGACGATTGGATGTCTTTGAGGGTCGCCTACCACACTATGTTGAAGGAAGGAGACTGCCACGACATGTCGAGGAAATGCATCATTTACGACATGTTGAAGAAAGGAGATTGCCATATGACCATGAAGAAAGAAGATTACCGTATGACCATGAAGAAAGAAGACGACCACGATATGTTGAAGATATTCGTCATCCACAATTTCTTAAAGAAAGACATGCTATAACCGACTCTCTGCATGATCCATTTCGATCTCGGCATGTGACTCATTTACCAGAGCTTCAACATGCTCCTCCCACATACTATCATCATGTTGCTCATACTTTTGACGAACGGTACCATCAACCTCAAGTTGATATCGTGTATGAACGGTGAGTGCTTTAGGCCCTGTTTGTTTCAGCTTAAGATTATTGTAATCTAGATTATTAAATCAGATTACTTTAAGCTGGATTATAATAAGCTAACATAAAATAAGCTACGAGTTGTTTGTTTCTCTGGATTATTAGAGGCATCTAAGGGTAGTGGGTCTTTAGCCACTCAATAATCTGGAAAAAGCTTCTCTAGAGGAGATTATTGGATTATAGTAATCTGGCTTATATATTATAATAATCTAGCATAATAATCTACTTGTTTGTTTCAGCTTACTCCTAATAATCCAGATTATAATAATCCTAAGCTGAATCAAGCAGGGCCTTAGTCATCTCTTGAATTTTCTAAGCTAAGTGCTAATTGATTTTTTGGCAAACTTGGTTAAATAAATCTCACTCATTATTGAAAACAATCTATATGATGAGTTGACTCCGCGTCCTTTCTTGTTAGCTTGAGCTTTTTGGATGAATAGGCTATATATGCAACTTAATTTGATATTAGGGCCAACACGTCTTAAAGTTATTCCAAGTAAGCACAGTAAGTTACAAAGTGCAACTTACTTCTACTCCACTCAATGCATGCGTGGATCCTACATATGAGGGTGTATGTTGAAAGTATATTGGATTGCTCACCTTTCCTCATCAAATTAAGCTTTGTAGGCTAGTGCATGCAACTTATACTTGGGTCCAATCCTAGTTTTGGGTGATTCTTAATATTTCTTAATTGAATTGTGAGTAGAAATCTAAAAGTTTCTTAATATATTTTGTTCACTATGCGATTGTGCTTTGTGTTAGTTGACACAAGATGACACTATGGCAGATTTGCTATTTTAGTACTCTAGCTTTCTAGTTGGTTTATTAGCAAACTATCTAAATTTGCTCCTCACCATCTTCATGATTTGTTGGCCTCTATGCTAGAGATCTGTAAACTATATAATGATGCCAGTTATGTCTTGTAACTTGAAAAACAAGCTCAATTTCCGCACAATTACACATGGACTAGATTAAAATTTATTTGGAATGTACACTGTATTTTGTATACAACTATATTGATTAATCTACACAATTGTAATTTGGACCAACCATGGTTGAGAAAATAGATATTTCTCTTTTTCCTCGATTAATATAGTAATTTCCATGCCAACAGGAAAAATGTGGTGGCTCCTTTTAGCTTCCGCTTAGCAACATAATTGAGAAATATTTTAGGTTTTTCCAAACATTCAAATTATAATTGCGTCAGTCAAACAACTTTTTTATTACCTAAATTCGTTGACATGAGAGTGAATGGAGGTGTAAAACTAATTTGGATAATTTAGAGAGATTGTTGATGCAGTCATTGAATTTTGGGACTTTCCAGCTCGATAAAAAAGTATAGAGGCGTTGAACTAATAGTAACCGTGTAGATAGGAGATTCAATACTGCAACTCAGATTCACTTCGCAATTCACACGGAACTTTCTACCCTTGTTCTACTTGCACTCTCCACATGTTTTGAAGGCACATCAATACTTTTAGCTAACTGAAAAAACAAATTATTGCAAGTTTAGCAATCAACTAAGTAGTTTTTTTTTCAAGTTTCAATTCCAAGGTACCACAGGATGGCAAGTTTATGGATCTCAGTTTTCTACTGCTGGAATTCATTGTCTCAAAACCTGTCCATGTTTAATTCTAGAATTTTCAGCAATTAGCTCATTAGCTGTACAAGACAATATCTATAAAAGGAAGGAAGAATTGACTGTGGTGTATTATCTTAAGGAGGCTGAGGAAAGTTGTTGCCTAATGAGTAGGGTCTTACTATTGACATATAAGGGAGCATAGCTTTATCTGTCAGAGTGCTGATGATTGTTTTAGTGATGTGCTAGAAAATTGTGCCTTCCTGTTATAGCTAACTTTGTCGTGCTAATTTTGGCTGCTAATTTTGGCTTCTAATAGCGTTCGTTGAGTTAGTTTTCTTTGAAGTTATTTACTTATTTGTAAGTCTTTTGATCTGTTTTAAGTTTAATGAATTTGTAACCTTTTGAATTTCAGTTCTGCCCCCAGAGCTATAGTTGAGGCTACTGACAGGGAGGCCTTCCTCGCAAGAGATTACAGAGTGCCAGAAGAGATTGTCGCACGCTCGGATCATGTGGATGAGCTCTACCGTTCTTATAGACTTGCCACTCGTGCAATGGATCTCCATCAGGGTCCGTCCTATGTGACAGCTGCCTATGAGAACCCAGGACCTGCCTACAGTGAAAGCATCCATCAGATGCCTGTTTCTTCTACAAGGCCTAACGTGCCTGGTGCGCCGGTCTCCTCCCTGTATTCCTTTGCTGGTGCACCAGCATATCGATGATCACCCCAGTGGCCCAGTGCACTGAAATTGGCCCCAGACAACCTTATTGTCAGTTGGTGATGGTGTAGGTACTGGCATCCTGGTACTATACTCCTGCTCTCTTGAAAGTCAGGCTACAAGTTAATCGTACTTGTTGCTGCAGAGTATCGATTCCTTTTTATCCCAATTGTAACATAGATTCCTTTATACTGGATCATGGGTTTTATTTCATCAGATTTAATGAACAAAATAAAATGTGCGGTATTTAGCTGTCTGCCTAGTATTTAGTTTGTGTCGTGAAAGGGAATTCATTATCGTCCTGCCCTTTCATTTTTTATATGTGGTACGTCTTGTCTTAGCTAAATGATCCTGAGATCGTTCTTCAGTTGTTTGGCTCTAACCTGGTCTGCTAAAGTGGTTATGCGAAGGAATCCAGGATTCGCTCACTTCGCTTAGAAACATTCTGTTTCGATTGATTTTGCCTCCTGAAGCGTTGTCTAGCTTTTCATGTCTTGCGTAGGCAAAGAGAAACTTTAGAATCGACATGTGTTTACTGGTGTTCCAAGCCAGGTCTTGGAAAATACGAGATGGTGTGGATTGAGCTCTGTATACGTCCCTTCAAGATTAGCATCAGTAATTCATGCGCTTAGTGGCACCAGTAAATTTATTATAAACTATTTTAAAAAATGTACAGTAATTCATGCGCTTACTGGCACCAGTAAATTTATTATAAACTATTTTAAAAAATGTACAGTAATTCATGCGCTTACTGGCACCAGTAAATTTATTATAAACTATTTTAAAAAATGCAATCAAACCATAGATCACACAGTCCAAATCAGAGAAGAAAAATTAGCCAAGTTATGTTTAGCTGTTCTTTTCAACTCGTACGAAATTTCCTTAGATTTTTTGCACGAGAAGTAGAAACAGGCACATGTGCCCGGTTCGTCGCACGAACCCGGACCACACGCTCCCCTTTGCAACCAACGCCCGTCCCCCTCCCCTCCCCACCTTCTCCTCCCTCGTCTCCTCTCCTCGTTCGGACCGACGGCGACGGCCGCCTAAATTATCCATACCTCCCCTCCGCCGTGGCCACCAGCCACCTCCACGAATCCAATTCCAACATCTCCTCCTCCTCCTCCGCCGCCGCCGGGGGGATCCGCGCTGCGCCGTGGTAAGCCCATCTCTCTCCCGGCCTTCCCGGCTCGACGTTCGTTGTGGGGGGCGTGTTTTGCGCCCGAGGATTGGTGGGTTGGCGGGGGGATGGGGATTGGGGCGTCGGACGAGCTGCTGGGCACGTTCGTGCCGATCGCCGTGTACTGGCTCTACTCGGGGCTGTACCTCGCGCTGGACGGCGTGGAGCGGCTGGACGTGTACCGGCTGCACCCCAGGGAGGAGGAGGCCGCCAAGAACGTCGTCTCCAGGGGCACCGTCGTCAGGGGCGTCCTCGTCCAGCAGGCCTTCCAGGTCGCCGTCTCGCTCACCCTCTTCGCGGTAATCCTCCTCGCCGCCGGTTATCTCTTCCAGCATGCGGGCACCCGAGTTATTGGTTGGATGAATTGTTTCATTTTTTAGCTTTGTGGTAATCTGATGCGAAACATGCAGAATCGCTTTTTTTTTATTATTATTTTCCTTCAGAAGTGCAGAAGCAGAGATGCAAATACTTGGGGTGAATTTTGAAGTAAAATAGGCAAATTGTTGTACATGCGTCTTGATTAGATTGTTTTGGAGAACAATGAAGTAAAAATTGCTTCACACGCATTTCGATTAGATTGTTTTGGCCCACCATCACCGTGTAGCACTCAATAAATCAATCTTTAAACCTCAGCATCTGTGCTAACATGCGGAGGATAGGAGCTAATCGCATCATGTATTAAGTTTTGGTCTGTAGGTGTGTTGTTTGGTAGGATAGCTTTGGTGCTACTTAAAATACATTTTTTGTATTCACTTCGTATGGAAGGAAGCTGCACATAACTAAAAGAAGAAGTCATTTGAATATAATGAGTAGGGAGCAAAGTTATGATACTTGTGTTGATTTTGCTTCTGCGTTGCTTATCAAGAAAATCCGTGCTTTGTTGCTTTCTGACTAAGTAGAAAAATATATTTATGAGATGGCAGCTGCTCTATGCTGATTGAAGTATATCAAAATGGTGTCCATGGAAAATAAACTGATATGCATGAATGTCCAGTTGTACGAATGCTTATGTGTCTTGAACCAATATTGTATCTTGACATTTCTTTTGGAGTTTACCTAATAGCTTTACTTGTATGGTTCTCAAACTGTTGAACTTCTATCGAACTGCAGGTTATTGGTGATGAAAGTGATATTGAACAGAAGCAACCTTCTGCCCTTGTGATATTGCTGCAATTTGCCATTGCAATGTTCGTTATGGATACATGGCAGTACTTCATGCACAGATACATGCACATCAACAAGTTCCTATATAAACATATCCACTCCAAGCACCACACTCTTGTAGTCCCTTATTCCTTTGGAGCTCTTTACAACCATCCTCTTGAGGGTCTTATTTTGGACACCATTGGTGGTGCTCTCTCATTCCTCGTCTCTGGTATGACACCACGGACATCCATATTCTTTTTCTCGTTCGCAACCATCAAGACAGTGGATGATCATTGTGGTCTGTGGCTTCCTGGTAACATCCTCCATGCGCTGTTCAACAACAACAGCGCTTATCATGACATTCATCATCAGCTCTATGGAAACAAGTACAACTTTTCACAACCATTTTTTGTCATTTGGGACAAGATACTTGGAACTTACATGCCTTACTCTATCGAGCACAGAAAAGGAGGAGGGTTTGAGTCACGGCCAGTTAAACTCAACATAGCAGAGCAGACCAAGACTGATTAGTGTATTCTCGGTCCACTACTCTCGGCTCTGTGGTACCCTGATCTTCTAACTACACTGTTGGTGTGAAATTATCACCTTGTTCGTATAGTGATGTTTTTCTTGTTCTCTATATTCTTCTTCTGTTACCTTTTGGGAGGGGTTCTCCTTGTACCAAGGTATAGTGAGTAAATTAGTGTACTATATCAAAGAATACTAAAGCACTAAGATCCACTTGGATCTGTTTCCTGGAGATTGGCTGCATGTATTGAGCTTACATGCATGCCAATGTTAACAAGAGAAGATGATATTTACACTGTATGCAGCTATGCAGTAAGCCAGTAACTTTTGTGGTGCATTCGATCGTTCCTTTGCCGTAGTGCACAGATGCAGTATTATCTGTGTCACTGGTTTGCCTTGAGTATTCTTTTGTACTACTAGTTTATTCACTGGCTTACAATCAGAATGCTAGATTAGTAAACTACCCAGATGAACCGCGTTGTTTTCACAGTACTGCTTCTAAGCCCTTGTTTAGTTTTCAACTTTTTTCTTCATATTTCCAACTTTTACATCACATCAAAACTTTCCTACACATAAACTTTCAACTTTTTTCTTCAAACTTTTAATTTTAGTCAAACTTTTAATTTTGGCGTGGAACTAAACACACCCTAACTCAAGTTTTTATATACGAAATCTTTCGTGCAAGGCAGCTCACACACTTGTAATTCCACTTGTAGTATCACGAAAAGTAGTTGCGAAAACTGTAGCAATGTTGACACAATCAAGTTCAAAATTTGATCCACACATTAGGGAAAAAAAGAGTAATCAGTTGTCAATAGTCAATACCAAAACTTTTAGTACTACTGGTATCTAAGGCTGTGTTCTTTTGGAAGGGCTGGGAACCCCTCCCCTCCACATGGAAAACGGAGCGATAGATTATCACATGATTAATTAGGTATTAGCTATTTAGCTGTAAAAAAACTTGAAAAATAAATTAATATGATTTTTTTAAAGCAACTTTACTATATAAATTTTTTACAAAACACGTACCGTTTAGCAGTTTGAAAAACGTGCACGCGAAAAATGAGGGAGAAGAGTTGGGAACATAAGGGAATACATACTTCAGCATGCTTTATCCCTGTAGATCCCTTTTCCAAAATTGTTCAGCATGCAACACTTAGGCAGCGTTCGTTTGGAGGACATTGAGGGAGAAAGCACCTCGTTTTCCGCACGCACGCTTTCCAAACTACTAAACGGTGCGTTTTTTGTAAAAATTTTCTATAGAAAAGTTGCTTTAAAAATTCATATTAATCCATTTTTAAAATTTAAAATAATTAATACTCAATTAATCATGAGCTAATGGCTCACCTCGTTTTGTGTATCTTCTCAATCTCCTCAATCCCCTTCTTCTCAAACACACCCTTAGGAGTCAGGACCATTGGCGAAGGGCAACGATCTATACAACACTTTGAGGCCCTTTTGAAACGCAGGCAGGAATGGTAAAACATTAAAAATAAAAAAAACACATGATTTTGATAGAATACATATACAAAACAAAAACAAAAGATTAAAACACATGGAAAACACATAGGAATGACCATTTCGATACGTCGGAGTAAAAAAAAAATGTCAACAGATAGAATGCAAAAGAAATGCATGAATAAGATGAAATATAAACTCAAAAAGGAAAATACAAGTTGGAGCACTTGCTAACTATCCTCTAAAATTTACATGTATTTAGCCATTACCAGAGAATTCTATATGATTTAAAAAGCTCTAAACCTTTGTTTCAAAATGCCAAATAGAAAAGTTTCTTACAAATTGGAATTCTACGAAATTCCCGCGAAATTTATTTCACAAAGGAGGCCTTAACCAGATGACAATATTTGTTTCTTTCTTCTTTTTTTTTTTGGGTAAAGGTTTGCACTACACTCTACACGTCTACACGTGACGAGGCCAATGGCTATCTGAATTTTACCGGAAGAGAGCAAAGCAAGAGAAGAGAGGGCACCACCAGAAGGGGGGAAAACCGCCACCTCTACGCGTCGCCGGAGAGCGCGCCGGTGGCATGCCGGAGCGCCGCCTACCAATATCCACTCCGGCGGCGGCCGGACCCCGCCGTCACCCCCGACGGCAGCGGCGTCACTGCCGCCTACTCGTCCTCCCGGCCTTCGCCCTCGCGCTTGTCTCCCTCGCCTACCTCTCCTTCTCTTCCCACCCCAATCTCCCCTTCCATGGTAAGCTGCGCAAATCACCCTGCTAGAGATCCGTAGTTTTAGGGCAAGAACTATCGTTTTGCTTGCAATGTAGTAATTGAAAAGCGGGGTGATAGTGGGTTTGTGTCGTAACACTAGAATGTTTTCTCCTCATCGTTTTCAATAATTCGTGGGATTGGGTGGAATAGGCCGAGAAGCATTCTCACCTGAAGTGTGTAGGAAGTTAAGCGTGGCAGAAATGAAAAATCCAAAAATATGTTTTTCTGTTGTCATCATGTCAAATTTAAGCATGTGACACATTTGCATTATAAGATAGGTTTGGGAGTGAACTTTTGATTTGTTAGGGGAAGGAGAAGCGGTGTAATGTTTGTATGCAACAGTACTAGAAAAGGGAATGGACTGTGACGACAATTATGTAGGCCCTTAGGAAACTCACCAACTTTAAATGACGACAAACAGATTCTTTCGTCGATAATGTTCTCATACTTCTCTGGAATGAAGTTTGATGCTATGCTCTACAGCAAAACATCATGATATGGCTAGTATAAAGGATGTTAAGGAGAGAATGGATCAAAGACAAACTCTCGATGCTAAGGTTAAGGCAAATTTGTCTATGTGAGTTCGTCATTTTTTTTCATATGTAAATAATATCTATCTGTGTGTATTTACATTCCTTTGGCTACCATGGAACAACAGTCATAGGATTAACTTCTCATGTCAGGACTAAAGTTGAGTCGGAACCCTTCAAAAGACGAAAGAAATCTCGCAAGCATTGTAAGAGATCTTCTCTACTATATTCTCTACATATTGAGTTTCCTAAAATATGGTACTTTTTAATCAAATACAATAAAACATATCTTATCCAACTTTATCCTAGATGCACTTTGTTCTAAACAGACTAGATAGCATATCTTTTGTTCTCTTGTATCTGCCAAATGCCTAGCCAGCGGCAAGTTGGTTGTAGTAGTACTACCTAATGGATCAGAATATCTACTACTTTGATTAATGTTTCTTGTTACTCCTGGGTTATGACATGTTGAGTATATTCTATAAAAAATGTAAAAAAATATGTATTACTGTAATATATTTTATGAAAATATGATAGTATCATTTTTCACATACCAATTCAAATAGTTTTTTATATATTGGTAGTCAAAATTAGACAAGGTTGACCACACATTTTCTTTATATTTCTGAACAGATGTATAGTACAAGTTAGCATCAGTTCTGGTTCTTACGACTCATATAAGAGATTTTCTAGTCAATTCTACTCATATGCTAAATGCAGACATGAATGCTGTTCTTTTTTGTTTATTAAATTTGCTATTGCTTTCTTCCATCGTGCATACTGCTTTAATTTATCAAATGAATTTTTGCAGATGTACCATGTCAAATTGAGTTTTTGCCATCAGTTGATGATCTAGTGGAGCCTGGTATCTACAACAACTTTACAGGGTTTTCTTTGAACTATATCTCGAAGGAGAATGTATCATCTAGTAATGGTATTTTTGAACCATTGTTTGGTGGACACCAGAGCCTTCAGGAACGAGAAGAGACATACTACGCAAGAAACCAAACCCTCCACTGTGGTTTTGTGCAAGGACCAGAGGATTACCCTAATACTGGATTTGATCTGGATGAAAATGACAAGATTTATATGGCTTCCTGCCGTGTTGTTGTTTCATCATGCATTTTTGGAAGCTCTGATTACTTAAGGAGACCAACTAAGAGCAAGGTAATTTTTTTTTAGGTGCATGGCATACTTGTATACATGTATTATAGCAAGTACCTTATCTGAGAGTACCTAATTTGCGAGTAATGGGTTCTTTTGGAGTTTTATCTCCCTCATGCTAGTACATTAATTACTATCTTTGGCTCCTTTTAAATCTCTCTGTATTTTTTTTAACTTCCATGACTATTGTATGTTTTGCTGATATTTTATAAGTTCAACAATAGGCAGGGTTAGACTGTACTTAAACATTACCGGTTTGAACTCCCACAGATTGGTCCATACTCTAAGAAGAATGTATGCTTCGTCATGTTCCTGGATGAGCTAACACTGGGAACTCTGTCCTCTGAAGGAACTGGCCCTGATGAAACTGGATTCATTGGCCTGTGGAGAATTGTTGTAGTTGAAAAATTACCGTACAAAGATATGCGGAGAGCAGGAAAGGTGCCAAAATTTCTGGCTCACAGACTCTTCCCCTTTGCAATGTAAGTTTTTGTTTGTGCAATATGTATCTTGCCTAGTTTCATGGAGAATATGTTTGGTGTTAGTGATGTAGGATTTGTTTAGGTGCATGAGGAATTTATTAATTGGCTAAAGCTAAATTGTCCTATTTGCAGTTGAACATTTCTATAATAAAAGACATGTTATAAATTCTAAATCAACAATAGTTACTGTTTACTTACCATGTAACAAGTTGATAAAAAGCATCCTAAGTTCCTAAGTCCTAACTACTCCCTATGCTGTTTAGGATTTTTGTGAATTCTTTCAACTGTTTCCTACATATCAATCTCCTATATATCCATGATCCGTGTTTCCTCTACTTGGTTAACAAAAGATTTGTACTTCATTAGGTACTCTATTTGGTTGGATAGTAAACTGCGCCTTAATGCTGATCCAATGCTTATCGTTGAGTATTTCTTATGGAGAAATAAAGCAGAATATGCCATTTCAGTGCACTATGATCGTACTTGTGTCTCGGAGGAAGTGCTTCAAAACAAGCGACTGAACAAGTACAACCACACTGCTATTGATGAGCAATTTTACTTTTACCAATCTGATGGTCTTGTGAAGTTCAATGAATCTGGCAGAGAGCCTGTTCTTCCAAGTTGTTCGTATCATTACCTTATGATCTGATAAATTACCCAGTATGAATATTTCTTCAGTATTGATCTTTTACATCACAATTGTGCAGATGTGCCTGAAGGATCTTTCATTGTACGTGCCCATACACCAATGTCTAATCTGTTTTCATGCCTTTGGTTTAATGAGGTTAACCGGTTCACCTCACGAGATCAGTTGAGTTTTGCATATACTTACCTGAAGCTAAGGAGAATGAACACTGGAAAACCTTTTCACCTCAATATGTTTAAGGTAATAAAATTTCTGGTAAAGCATTTCTTTTCCTTGCTGAATTTCTGCTGCTGTGGTTTGAATTAGTTTGTAATGACAAAACATAGGAGTCCATGCATTTACACTTTTATGTCCCAACATGAAACTCCATAAAAATCTCTTTATTTTTTTATGAACAATTTTAAAGAATAGTTTAATCACCGTTTAATAAGATGTACATCAATAAGCAGGATTGTGAACGAAGAGCGATAACTAAACTGTTCCATCACCGAGCTAACGAGACTGCAGATCCACCTCCAGCTAATCCTTGATTTAAGATTCACTTACCAATATCAGGGAAATGCCTTCATTTGGGTGTTACTTCTGCTACTCAAGCCGCTGCTGCTACTACCACTAGTAGTGCATCGCTCTCTACTAGTAGGGCATTGCTCAGGAGTTCTTCATTTGTTCAGTATGTCCTATCCCAAGCTGCTGGTCCTTCATTGCCAGGTGAAGGGAGTATTCTTGATCAGGGTTCCCTACTGCTGGCCAGACTGGTTTACCCAATCTACCACTTCAGCTCACGCAGAGCATGTCGGCTTCTTCTTTCTCGTTTAGCTTGCAGGGGCATCGTGGGCTCTCTTCTTTAGAGTCATATTTGTGGGGGCTTTATGGATTTGATAGTGCACGTCTGGGCATTGCCGACGATGCAGCAATTTGGTGGGGAGCTCCCAAATCAACAGCAGCAGACAGATGGCTCTTACCAGCAGCCTCTTCCTCGAGCTCTCAGAAGATAATGCTCTCTCTTTTTTTTTGGAGGAAGTTAAGGCATAGACCATGTGTCGTTTGTTTTTGCTTCTGTCGATCTCTGGTCTGTAATTGCTAAGCTGAAACGACTTCATAGTTCTTACATATACTCCATTTTCTAGTACTAGTTCTAAACCTGGGCACCATGCATGCCTTTTTCCTTATGCGGAGTTTAAAGCACAATTTAAAGTTGTTCAACCGAGTTGAGCACAATTTGTTCCGCCCGAAAGGGATTACCCCTCCCCTCTTCCTTGTTCGGTTTGAAGGGGCTTGAAGGAGATTAGAGGGGTTTGAGGGGGAATAATTTCACACCACAATGTAAAATAAATCCCTTCCTCTTTAGGATTAATCGAACATAGCCTTATGCAGTTATGCCGAGTTGAGCGCAATTTGTTCAGCCCGGACAGGAGTTGATTACCCCACACGTGCTGCGGACGTACTTTTATACGTACATATACAGCGGTTCAAATGAATCAGGAGACTCAAATGATCAAATCAGAGCAGCCTACCTAGCAGATGGGAGTCTCAGAAACAAAGCCAAGTAAGTTATCGTAGTAGTACATATAGAGTTACGGGATAGAATCTATGTGACTTTAGAAAGTTATAGAAATTTTTTTTTTTGGAATACGTAAAAAGATTGTACACTTTTATATTAAGAGGAATAAAATCTATACGGGTGGCCAAACAAAGAAGAAAGGGAGGGATCGGGGAGAAAAAGAAGGAAAAAAGAAAGAAAAGGAAAAAGGAAACCAAGAACTTGAGCATATTCTCGCGTTGATAATGTGACGACCTAGCGATGAAAGTTATAGTAGTTTATCTTTTGTAAGAGGAATATGATGGTTTGTCAAGGCTGAATAACGAAGATGTAGATCACTTCCATTTTGTCTTCAAAGAAAGAAACACACATTGTCTTCATTTTATCCAGATAGAACAACATCTACACGCTACGCACGAATAATTCTTCTTAAATAACAACAAAGTTTAACTACACATGCATATACATAAGCAAACAGTAGTACTGCACGGGTCATGGGCGCCTGCGCCTTAAGCTGCTGCTGCTTCAATGCGAGAGGCCGCTTCTGCTTGTTGAGACGCCGCTCATCTCGCTCTCGCTCGCGTCTCTGCAGCCGCTTCTGCTTCTTCATCCAAGCAGGCGTGTGGCGGCTGAAAAGCCTCCGCACGCCGGCCTCCGCGGCCTCCAACTCCTCCCGCCGCGGCGTGCACTGGTACCACGCGAACACGCCGTGCTGCTGGCACACCCGCCTCAGCCTCGAGAGCCCCCAGCCGATCTTGACGAACTTGAAGTAGCGGGTCCTCCTGATGTACGCCATGTACCCCTGGTCTCGATGCGACCACACGCCGAATCGGTTCTGGACGATCATGTTGCTCGCGTGGGCGTACGTGTACAAGTGCCGCTTCATCGCGAACGCGCGTCTCCCTTCGGGCACTCCTGAGCGGCAGTAGTTGCCCTCGACCTCGGCTTCTAATTGTGCCTGGGTCGGCGGCTCCATGTCTCGATTGCCGCTCTCGAAACGATCCTGATGCAAACGAGATTATAACTAGCTAGGAGTAATTAATTAACCAACGAGACAAAGTTGTATTCAGATACGTAGACAAAGGTAACACTATTACGTTGTTAACTTTGATTCGGTCACGTACAAGTTGAGAACCGCAGAACGCTCGTATTTAAACGGGGACAACCGGACATATATGGTGGCGGATGAGTCTCATTCCGCGCTCTCTGCATAATTTATAATTAATTAATACATATTCACAACAATGGCACATAATTAGTACTAAATGGAGTCTGGATTGAGTGACTAACATAGAGCAGTTCAAGTTGGCACACAACATTTTCTGCGAGACTTGCTGCAAAGTGCAAACTCCAGGGGGTGAGAGTGAGACCATCTGTTATTGTAGCGAGCCAGCTGCATGACAGGGGCAAGAGAAAACATATTCGTATAAAAATATACTACTACCTTCGTTTCATAATATAAGTCGTTCTAGCATTTTCCACATTTCTATTGATGTTAATGAATCTAGAACATCAATATGAATGTGGGAAATAATAGAATGACTTACATTGTGAAATTATCAATACTAGATTTTGGGATCGACGGCAAAGATAATTGTCTGCCAATGTGACGATTACTGTCTCATGCAAGATCAGGAAGCAGCCGGCCGGGAATCATCTTCATGTTGGCTGTGAATTTGACGATCCATCTCCATTATATTAAGATAGCAGCAACTCGTAACATGACATCAGTATTAGCTGGAAAACTCTGAACACCAGCTTGCCTACGGGAAACGAGAAGTAGCTATGATTCAGTGGACAAAGTGGAACGAATAAAACTGAACTCAAACGTCATGGAAACCGTTTTACATGAATACAAGCCATTTGCTCATCAATAATCACATAATGACCTTCTATGCAAGATAGCGATATAACTTCCTATCTGCTTTGTCCCTCTCTAAGAATTCACGCTCAATTAGAGATTCTATGCGTTTCTTTATGACAACAGGATTCGGCATGAATCGGGCTTGCAATTGCTTGGTAACCTCAGCTACAATGCTGTTATGATCCAAGACCCTCCTGGATTTCATAATCCTGACGATAGCAGCCTCAATTTGAGGTTTCCTGTCCTCCTCAACCCGTTGACGAGTCTCTTGTTTCTCTGGCTCAGATTCCTTTTGCGCCACTACTGTCCCAATCTTGACCTTAACAAGCTTGCTTGTGAACTTGTCGTTGAAGTAGAATGTGTCATCCTCCGATATATCTTTGCTCATGGGTTCCTTGCGGAGAACATTCTTCCCCTTGACACAAGCAAGAGATTGAAGGCATCTCTTTAGATCCGAGGCAGGTATCGCAGTATCTTGTTCGATGTCTTTGTAGGTTAACCCATCGGTAGAATTAAACAGCATGAGAACACACATCTGATAAGTGGATACATTTAGTTCATGCTTCTGACCTTTCCCAAATGTGGCTTTTATGTCAGCTGTTCCCATGTTTGTTTGCCATGTCAATCTCCGGCCACTGTGAGTTCCAAGGTAGTATGTCCGGAACTTATCACATATTGCAAGGATTTCAGTTGGAAGGTTGCAGGGAGGGCAGGGCTGTGTTGGCCAAGAACCAGTTGTAAGAATGTGGACATCAAGTGTTGGGCCATCGCCAAGTTCCTCAGACTTCTTGGCATAAAAGTCTATCATAGTGTCCTGAGAGGTCTTCATGTCAGTGAACATGCCCTCTAATTTGGAAGTGAACTGGTACCCACATTCTGTCTTGAGTTTAACTATCATACTCCTCTCAGCATCATCAGAAACAGTTTTGCCAGACAATAGTCTTTTCGCCAAATGCTGCTTGTAGTACTTCTCAAATACATCCTTCTCCTGGAGGTACCGAAACAGCATCATGACTTTGTCCAGAATAACCTCCACATCCTCTTCTGTGGCTCCTTTCAATCCTTTCCGAAGTTTATCATCAACATACAACGATATGAATTCAGGTGACCTGTTGTTTAAGTTGATGAAGTACTCAAAGGATGAATTTAGAGCATTCTGGAAAGTTTTGTCATTGCCAAAAGCAACGTTGATGATCTTATCATGCTTGTCCTTCTCATTTAACAAGCGCTGAACAAATTCCACTGGGTCTTTCAACCTCTCAGGATCTGTCACTAACTGCTTCCCTGTTTCCCTTAGGTATGAAGTCATCACATCTCTGATTGTCGATAGCCCATCAAAAACCCTTCGGAATAAGTTGTACATCCTAGCCAAGTCGTCATATTTGTCATCTACAAGCATATTTACAAGGCCTGAGTTTTCCATATGAACCAATCTATGCATGTGATTGGCAATCATTTCTTTCTCAACCACACTAGTTATCTTTGCCTCAGTGCCAGAATCCAAGTAGTGTGAGACACGTTCCATTTCCTCATTGAGACGTCTCTCGGACTTCTTAAGATAGTTCCCACAGTCACAGCACTCAATGAACTCCTGAGACTCTCCACTGTAGAAGCTAGCTGTAACATCCAAAAACGGCTTCTCAAAGTCATCTTGATATACAGCAGCACCAAGATCCATTAACATTTTCGTTATGCTCCTCATCAGGCCTCTGTTAATCATTTCACCCATTCTCTCCCTGTGAATAAGATCCAGAAGGGTATCAAGCAGCCGACTATGAATCATGGGAGAGTGAATTATGTGATCCCTCCACAAATTCAAACCAAGCTCATGAACAGGTGTTCTACGGGATTGCGGGACATATGTTCGATCCATGTACATTAGAATATCTCGGATCATCTGCAATGCCTTATTGTGATCCATCCACTTGGCATTCAGCTCCTCCAGAAACAAACCACCCTGTGCAGCCTCTATTGATTTTGATATTTCCTTCAAGCGCCATGTCATAGTTCTCTCCAGGCCATCATATAGCTTCTCACCATACTTGTGGAGCACCATGTTGTAGGCACTCCTGCACAGATGAAAGGAAATATTGCAAATTACAATCAAGTGAGGTTCAGAATAGTTATTTATCACCAAGTTGCTGTGACGACCAAAGAGGCCGACAAGCATGGCTTCCAACAACTAAGTCAATACTACAGATGACTAGATGGAGTAACCCATCAATATCCAACACCTAACATCCGCCCAATCTCCCTAATACTGATCGTTGACTATAAAAATTCTGTATTTTAACGAAAATTTGTAGGATCACAAATACTAAAAGAGAATTCTCTCGAAAGAAATCACTTTCAACCATCAACATATGCGACAGGAATGTTCGGCTAGTAATCATAATCATTAATCATCTCAAGAGGAGCAAACTTATTAGAATTGGCACACTGAAATTTTCTAATTAACCACATGTTAGGGCCGGGGCGGTAGGATCTAGGTCGCCAAGCGGGAAACGCGACGGCGACGGCAGGAGGCGGGAGGATCATGGGAGTGCGGGGCCTCGGGGGGTTGTACCAACCTGTAGAGCTCCTCGAAGGAGAGGCCACTGGCGTTGTGGTTGTAGATCTCGTGGATGGCGTGCTCCAGGACCTTCCATGTCCGCTCCGCGTACTTGGGGTCGAGCTCCACGCGGTGCTTGAACAGCTCGATCTTGAAGTTGCGTTTCTTCGGCGGCCCGCCCCCGCTCATCGCCGCCGCCGGTGAGGTCCCGCTCCGCCGGCGGCTAGGGTTTTAGGCCGAGGTGGGGTGGGGGAACGTGGACAGAGAGGGGGAGGGCGCAGCGGCGGACAGAAGAGAAAGGCTTCAGTTCCTCTTCTTCCCTGCAGTGCTGGCGTCGCCTGCTTTTTTTTTTTCTCTCTCTCTAATTACGAAGGCGTTTGCCTGCTTTTCGCTCAGGGAGCAAACTAATAATTGTGTTGCCACAAACCAAATACCCCTTTAACAACACTAACCAATAAATAATAGTAGATATTTCTTGATGTTTTGAATAACAAAATATATCTTTGACTTTTTTTACTATAATATATGTAATAAATAAATACCCTACCCTCTAAGAGCACCTCTGGAAAACTGAACGACATATCTACCTTACCCCCTATGAGCACATACAGAAAATTGGGAAGTTGCTTTAAAAATCATATTAATCCATTTTCCAGGATTTTTAAGCTATTACTTAATTTTCCCTACCCTCTATAAGCTCCTTCGGAAAATAGCACCTCGTTATCAACAGTTACGTCACATATCTACCCTACCCCCTATAAGCACTTCCGGAAGATTGGGACATATCTACCCTACCCCCTATGAGCACCTCTAAAAGATTGTGCTAGCACCTCGCTGTCAACAGAGGTATGTCGCATATCTACCCTACCCCCTATAAACACTTCCGGAAGATTGGGTTGTCACTTCACTATCGACAGGTACGTCGCCTATCACTAAAAGAATAATTAGCCGTAAATGCAAGCACCTGTGTCAATCTTGAATTTGAACCTGGGTGAGTTGGTTCCACCACAAGGAACCTAACCAGTTGAGCCACGCTCATTTCACTATTATTTAATTAATCATGCGGTAATCCATTACTTCATTTTACGTGTGTGAAGGGTTAATTTCCAACACATTGAAGAACACAACCTAAATATACAATATATCTCGGAAATGATATATCATGTTCGCCACATAGAATAAAAAATATTAAGCCGTTAGATCGTGATGAAACCAAACCATAATGATATAGAGCGATGGCAATATAGTTGTATAAAGATGCAATTGTATACACAAATATAAACATAAGTTTGTACATTAAATCTAATCCTAGATTCAAATATCGATCTATTCTATACAAAATATAATTGCATATATGGACATATGCGCAAAGAGTATTATCACAAATCCAATATTTAACTAGCTATTTTGTATGGGGAAGTCCTCTACTTTATTATGTAATATTTGTATGATATGAATGTATCCTATATATACAAGTTTTCACGTGCACACACCATTCACACTAGTTGATAAATGTCACTAAAAGTTCTTAGAAAAAAACTATACATATATTTTCAGTAATATTATATCTATATATATTTCTTTGAATCTATATATGGGGCAATTTCATTCTTACCCCTACTTTCATGTTTAATATTGGTTTTGCCTCTATTTTTTAGGGTTTTTGTTTTGGCCCCTATTTTTTTAAAACGAAATTAAGCTTTACCCCTATTTTTGATGGACATGTTAACGGCGTTAAATCTTTGACGAAAAGACATCCTACCCTCACTGTGCTGATTTTCCCCTATTTTGTTCATTAGTTCTGTTTGCATCTTGCAATTTTCGTAAACCAATTTGTTTCAAAATTTGATATACAAATGTGATAAATATAGACAAATATTGAAAAAAAAGGACAAAATTTGGAAAAAAAAAAGGTCATATTCTACAAGTCGCCGCCTCCTGGCCGGGTCGACGGGCCACCGCCGCCGCCTCCTCCTCTCCGCCTCCTGGCCGGGCCAGTGGGCCACCGCCGCTGTCACCCCTAGCCGGGCCGCCGCCTCCTTTCCAAGCTGAGTCGCCACCGCCACCTCCTCCCCATGTTGAGCCGCCACCGTCGCCCCCTGGCCGAGCCATCACCGTCGCCTCCTCCCCAGCCGAGTTGCCACCACCGCATCCTCCCAGCGT